CATCACTGTCAGGACATATGATGACTTTAGATTTCACAGCCAGTCATCAAAAATGGTAAGAATACATAATTATGTTAACTTAATAACCAAGATATTTTATAAAAATAACTTATGTTATTTTGATAACCAAGATATTCTATAAAATGTTTGTCATAACATTTCCTTTCTTCAGGTATAGTTGTGCTCCTGTAGCCCTGTTTAGTGCTCCAGTTACAAAATATGTTGGTGAAAGCTATCTCCCTATTAAGGTAAGAGACTCGTCCCACAACTACCTTGGTGCATTGTTTCTGTAAAAAGACTCCTTCCTCTTTTCATGAAGAAAATTCCTGTACATGTATCTGTGTATGTTTCATTTTAATCTCATGTGCAATTGTGCAATTATCACAATCACAGAGGACTTTAGAGAGAGAGGTACGAGGCTGTCAGGTGTTGATTATATGGACTGATTGTGACAGAGAGGGTGAAAACATTGGCTTTGAAGTGATAAATCTTTGTCAAAATGGTAAGTTACTTATGGCAAACTTGGACAATAAATGATGTAATAATTTTCATTAGGGTAAGTTTTTCATTTGTACATATTATGCATGGGACAAACAAAAAAAGGGGGGTGGGGAGGGTGCATGGCAAGTGAGGGAAAAACAAGAAAGAATCAAATTTAAAGTCTAGCACAGGCTAAAGTGTTAAGAGTGCAGAGATATCTTTCTTGCATTGGTTTGTTTATATGCTGGTAATACATCATGCTATTTTTGTGAATATTAAGCAAATAAAGTCAACATTTGTAATGTTGTAATCTCCTCGAACTTGATTGTTTCGCAGTCTGTCCAAATATCCAAATTTACCGTGCAAAGTTTTCAGAAATTACTCCTGGGTAAGTAGTTAGAGACGCTTTCTCTTTTATAGAGGAATTCTTTCAAACAAAACATTTTAAAATATACTGGATGTGAGAACTTTTAGTGCTAGACTTGTTTTGATAGTACATCTGTCGCAGCTATTGACTAATTCTCTCAGGCTCATTATGAGGAGAGTAAAAAGTGTTTGTATTGCCCTTAGCAAGATACTTATTAATACTAAAATAAAAAGTGTGTAGCATATAATGCAAAGATCAAGTGGTACTGCAACAGTTACAGAATACAAGGCATGGGAATTATTTTTGCTGGGAAATTTGCAGCTCACAGCTTTTTGTTTGAGGGATTCCTAAAGGTTTGAAATGTTCTCCATAATTGTCAACCTAAAGAAAGAGCAGTATTATTTACTTTTATTACGTTATTTCAAACATTTTAGCTCGGTTTCAAGAGCAGTCCAGAACCTTGTTCAACCTGATTTATTACAGTCACAAGCAGTAGATGTTAGGATGGAGCTTGACCTAAGGATAGGTAATTTTTTCACTTTTGTTTGTGGTAATGTCATTTATAGAAGTGCAGTGTTTTGCTGTACATGTACATCAGAGGATGAAACAAATTTGGATGTGTTGTAACAAACTTTGTTGACTGTATTGGAGTAGTGGTCCCATTAAACTATGTATTTGTGAAGAAAAAATACAACAAAGATTGTGCAGTAGATTCTTTCTATCTTTCTATTTTTGTGACATCTGATTTTCTGTAACCCTGTTTATCATAGGAGCTGCCTTTACTCGGTTCCAGACACTGAGACTGCAAAAAGTTTTTCCAGATGTTTTGAGTGATAACCTCATCAGTTATGGTAAGCATCAGCTTCAAAACATTAACTTGTAGACTTACAACCATAATATATCATTAAAGCCTTATTCAAGCCTAAATTGCTTCTTTTTTTCTTGTTTTAACTATTTCATTTTGCATGAGAAAATTTATACTTGAAAGTGGATGGTACTGTGCATTGATGGACAAAAATTGCTTATAAAGGTAGATGGAAGATGGTGTTATCAGTTAGTGGCAAAGGAATATTCAGGAAGAGAAAATTTGACTAATTATCATAGCAAGAAATGATTTTTTGACTTTTTCCTTGTCCAGTTTCAAGACCTTTTAATTTCATTTCCTTTAGGAAGTTGCCAGTTTCCAACATTAGGATTTGTTGTTGAAAGAGTGAGTAAACCTTGACATTTGACTTTGTAAACAGAAGTAGAGAACATGCACAAATATTCCATCCTTAGAAACTCTTTCTCTGATTAAAATAGATCATGCGCCCATAAGCATTGTACAATTTTTGCTTTGCTTTGTAACTTTTTAGGTCTAGTCACCAAGTATTGTCACTATGAAGACTGCTGTCAATAAATTTAAATACCGGTAATTTATAATTTTTTTGTTTTTCAATCAGTATAAACAGGTTCAGCAATTTGTTCCTGAAGTATTCTACAAAATTAAAGGTAGGAAATTGTTAAACTCATTTCTGTTTTATTGTTTAAATTATTTTTGTTTTATTAATTTATTGTTTGTACTTTCAAAATATTTGGCAGGCTTGATAAATGTTTTTGAAAGCATTAAATTCTAAGAGGTAGTGAAATAAATAAATAAATTATTTTGATGAATGAATAAAGTTGATCTTTATTTTCCTTTAGTTTCTCATGAGATGGAAGAAACAAAAGTGGATTTCAACTGGAAGAGGTACAGTATACTTAAGTTTTTTTTTTTTATTCCTAGGGTTTTGGCTGTCAGTGAGTTTTTATTAGCCCCATGATGTTTTGAATAAATGCAGACATGTACAACATATTTATTGTTATTTCCCTTATAGAGGCAGACTTTTTCACCGCTTGCCTTGCCTGGTCATCTATCAGATGTGTTTGGAGGTATAATATATGTATTTTGTTTAAACTACATTTTGCTTTTCTTCTCTAACTGGCTATAAACTTAATAAAATGAAAGGTATATAACGCATTTACCTCACTCTTGGAGCAATAGTTTATTTTTTTTTATCATTAATATTATGCTTGTTATAATATTAACACTATTATTATTATTTCTCTTATGCAAGAATCCTACAGCAAAGGTTCTTAGCACATCATCCCGTCCCAAGAGCAAGTGGAGACCTCTTCCTTTAGACACTGTGGTAAGTGGAGCCACCATTATAAGTTGACTCCTTACAAGTTCAATCTTTTGTTTTGGCTCCTCTGAATGAGTTTTAAACCTACTTAAAAAATGTCTTGCAATGTCTACATAGACTTTATGATTAGTAATATTTTGGTGTTTAGTGCTTTTGGGTAATGTCCAGTTCACTTAAAGGTAACATATACAATACATTTGCAGGAGCTTGAGAAACTTGCCTCTCGAAAGTTGAAAATAAATTCCAAAGAGACAATGAAAATAGCTGAAAAGCTCTACAATCAGGGGTAGGTAGTAATAGTCAAAGATGTATTTCTGAAGAAGTCAATCATATATTATTGGTGCTCCAATGAAAGCCATGTTCAATACAGGTGCTCTCTTAGTTTCAATGTGATTAAATGTGGTGGTAACTACTTATTGTTTTGCATGATTTTATGCTTGTGGCACAATTTAACTGGCTGCAAGTTGAGAGAATGTCTTTGAGTACACATTTTCCATGATAATTAGTTATCCCATCATAGTGTCATTGTATAGACATCATGAAGAGTACCTTTGTCACTTTGTGTTTTAGATTTATCAGCTATCCTCGCACAGAGACCAACATATTTCCAAAGTCATTGGACTTACGACCCCTTGTTCAAAATCAGACTGTTGATGGAAACTGGGGAGGTAAAAATAAAAGTTCATATATTCATTCATTCATTTTTTCATTCATTTTGTCATAATTCACTTAAAGTGCCATTCATACATCTAAGCTGTGTTGTAACTACTATTTAAACTATTTTCACTGACGGCATTTTGTAATTACCTTTAAGTTTTTTTGTGTAGTTAATATCATTACAAAGCACTAGTCTTGATTCTAAGGTGGAACTTCCACCTTGGAAACAGCAACTGTAACTTCGGTGTTGTGACTTGGTCATTTTTTCCAGCTTTTGCTGCTCGCGTGTTGGAACGAGGCCCGAGCCCTCGGCAAGGCAACAAAACAGACAATGCTCATCCTCCCATTCATCCAACAAAGCATACAGACAATTTACAGGTTTGCTTTTTTTATCCATTTGCTAAGACTTATGCAGAGATTTGGAACTATTTTGAAGGATTTCTGGATAATAGCAATCCAATCATTTCTCCTTGTGATATTCTGCTATGGCTCATCAGAGCAATCAGATGTCAAATTTTGTAAATTGAATCACATTTTGCATGTTACCTAATTGAATTATGGGGAATTATATTCGACTGATACATCGGCGGAGTGTTGGTTGCTACTCAGATAATTTATTGGCTGAGTGTCGGCTGGATATTTGTCAACCGACACTACCTACTGTATACATGATCTTTGCCACCTGCTACATATTTTGCATTTTAATGTTATCATTAGTTGAGAATTTTTCCAGGCTAAGTCTAGGTACATAATGTCTGTTTGACTTAATTTAAATTGCAGGGAAATGAAAAAAGATTGTATGAGTTCATAGTGAGACACTTCTTAGCTTGCTGTTCTGAGGTGAGAAGATTCCTTTGTTTTAAAGTCATTTTTATTGCCTTTCTTCCAATTATCTTCCTCCTGGGCCCATTTCCCTGAAGAGCGTGATCACCTAAAGAAAGTTTTCGCATGGCTTAAATACCCGGAATGCCTGGTAAATTCTACTGTTAACACCCTCTTACAATCAAGGATTGTTGGTAAGCAGCCCACACAGACGCCCAAAGAACCAAAATCCATTGTTCGTGTGGTCATACCTTTCAAAGATCAGGAATCAGCAAATTATGTTAAGAAAGAGCTCAAGAATCTTAGCATGAAGGTGCAGACAACTGTCCAGCCAGTATTTGTTAGCCGCAAAGTTGGCCAAGATCTCAAAGTACGAGAAATCAAGCCACAGATCATCAACCAACAACGCGTCGTTTATGGTTTTCAATGTGACCTGTGTTTTTTTTTTTTTTTCCAAGGATGCTAAGGGTCAGGAGACTAATGTGGAGATTGAAATTGCTGGAGAGAAGGTCTGTGTTGTACAGCTTATTGAATGGTGGTATGACTGTTTAAGTCAGAGAATGAGCACCAAGTTGTCAATGAAAAGTCACTTCTGACTGAAAAAAAAAAAAAACCTTATGCTCTGGTAGAAGAAGGTTTTAAATGTTTGATGTACATTTTTTGCAGTTTACTGCCACAGGTCTAATGATCACTGCAAGGAACTATCTGGAAGTTTATCCATATGATAAATGGAGTGATAAGGTAATTTTGTTTCCTTTGTACAAGATTTTACTTACATTTGGCCCTCTTTTTCCAATAAAAATTACCAAACAACTTTTTTTTAATATGGGAACATACCATGGTTTTACATCATGTCGAGTGCTATTGTTAGCTCTGTGGTCAAACAACTGTTTTCTTTGCATATTAAGCTTTCTACTTGTATGATAATCTTTTGTATTGATTCTCTCATTGAAGACAATTCCAGTCTACAATCAATGTGAAGAATTTCAACCAAGCTCTATTGAGGTTTGTAATTTAACAAAATTCTCAAATTAAAAGTTCAAGGTGTGTTTGGCCTTCCCTGCTTTGGAAACTAAAAAGGCATCTTTCCCATCATGTTAATATGGAAATTTATAGAGTTTATGTCTACAATAATATTGTTTGCAGATGGTTGATGGGGAAACCAAACCACCTCCTTTGTTAACAGAAGCTGATTTGATTGGTCTGATGGAGAAACATGGCATAGGTAGGGGATAACTCTAAGCAAGAGTAATTACAATTTATTTAGTCTGATCATCCATTCGGATGAGAAGAAAAAACTGTAGAAAAAAAAAATTCTCCTTACCAAAAGAACAGATGGAAAGCAAACAGTTTCTGTTACAAATTTGAAATAATCAGCTGACCAAATGACAGCATGATGGGTGAAAAGAAAAGTTAATTGATGATGTGTTTCATCCTTCTTGCCACAGGCACAGATGCCACTCATGCCGAGCATATTGAGACCATCAAGAACAGGTGCTATGTGGGGGTACAGCAAGATGGGACCTTTCTACCAGGACAGCTGGGAATGGGACTTGTGGAAGGTACAGTGAGATCCTATCACATGATCTGCATGTTGTTAATGACCTTCCTGTTCTTATAGTAGAGATAGAGTATTAAGCTTCCCTAATTAATTTTTTTCTCTCATTTATGAAGAATAGTCAACTTTAGCTAATCCTTAAAATTTTTGTTTTTTGAAGGTTATGATTTAATGGGATTTGAGCTCTCTAAACCAAGACTAAGGTCCGAACTTGAAGCAGATTTAAAGAGGTAACACCAGGAAAACTCCACTGCTTGCATTATTTGAATTTCCCCCATTTCTCTTCCACTTTTTGGTCTTGAACTGAGTGAGATCTATTGGTAAACAACTACAAAGATACAAACTAGAAAAATTGTTGTAAACACAACAAAGGGAAGCCTTGAATATGTACCCTTTATATACTTGCCAATTTTGTTTTCTTTTGCAGAATTTGTGAAGGAACAAGAAATAAAGATGGTGAGACAGATTATAAACTACATTTTTTTAAGAATTCTTTTTAAACAAGCAATGTCTAATGATTTGTGAACTTTGTCATTTAGATGTACTTGTTGAACAAATAGCAAAGTACAAGGAACAATTTGTCCAAGCTGTGCAAGAGGTTAGCTAGCTTAACTCATGTACGTGTATGTTCAGATCAACTCTATAAATTGGCCAAAAGTTAAATGACTTTAACTTTGCAGATGACAACTTTAATATAGAGAAAGTTTTCTTTTCTTCTAAATATTGTTAAGAAATCCATCTCAGTTTCAAAATGAAGAATGGTCCAAACCAAAGGAAGCTGCTGCAATTTGCTGATTTTGTAAAGAATTGATCAAGGTGTAGATTTAGAATGATGTGCTTAGTAACATTGTGTTTCACCACAGGCAGTCAAATTGGATCAAGCTTTAACACCATACTTTGGAGATCCTCAAGAATTCATTGATGAAGGTCTGTATTTTTATCTAATATACATTGATGATAATGATAGCCAAATGGGCAGGATAACAATAACTAGGTGATTAAACCAAGAAAGGCAGTCCATGCTAAATGCTTAAAATATCTTGCCTTAACTGTACAGGAAAGCTAGAGTAATGATTCATTAATGATTTATTTATAAAGTATTGAGCTTTCCACAGACTTTTCTAGCTTTGTCTTATCTTTTGTTTGTTTGTTTGCTACTGAAGTTCTCAGTAGAGGGGATGAGAGGGGAACAGAACCTATGCGGCTTTGTCCAAGACGTAAAACAGAACAAATGGTGCTCAAAAAGACCAAAGATGGAAGGTACCGTACTTTGCTCACTTTATCAGCAAAATGTTCACAGGTGCTCTCATGAGAACTGTTGACAAATACATGTTCACATTTGAATGAAATGCTGGTGATGGCTTCAGCAAAGCTTTATGTGTGTTCCATAATTAAATTGAAATATTGATGGGTTGAAGTGCCATTTACTTATTATGTTTTTCCATGTTATCAACCTGCAGCTACATGATTGGTTGTCAAGGGTATCCAAGATGTCGAGCCAGCATTTTCTTCCCCAAATTTGTTTTAGAGGCCTCGGTTGATGAATCTCTTTGTCAGCAGTGCCAAACTGGAGATGTACATAGAATAAGGTTCAAATTTAAGAGAGGTTCTGTTCCACCAATGATGCCGCTAAAGTAAGTTGGCTTTTGATTAGTGTGTGTGTGTGAGTGCGTGCGTGCGTGCGTGCGTGTGTGTGGGTGTGTTTTATAGTAGACTATAGCTTGATTGTATTTAGGAGAGTTGTTGAATTTTCCCCTTTACAATGGCTATGTCTTGCTCCATTGCTCATATCTGTACTGTTATGTGGGTAGCTACACAGGTTGTGTTGGTGGATGTGATGAAACTCTAAGAGAGATGCTGGATTTGAAGGACTTAAAAAAACTGCCATCTGAATCAGGTAGAAGTTTTGTTCTTTTGCTGTCTCATTTTGCTTACATTGGTAACTGCACTTTTCATCCTCTTTTCCCATTTTTTCTGATCTTGCAACTAACAATAGTCCAGCACCTTGCAGGAAATCAGGTCTTTCCTACTCTGTAATAGTTTACAGACTAACAGTAGCTTCATTCTGTTGAAAATGTTTTCTTTTGCAAGCAATGATAGCAACAGTTTCATCAACTTTGCGCAGTTTCTTATGAAAGTTAATTAAAATAGCGGTTGCATGACAGCATACGGCGTATTGCCTGATTTTAAAGACAATTATCAGCTCTTTCCTTTGTGATATTACTTGGAACAGGTTGTAACTAATAATGTGCAAACATTTCATTAAAAAATAGGTGGTTCAAACCCAACAGGAAGAGGAAGACAAAACCCTCAGCCCAGTAATAGGGGTAATAAACGTACCCCAGGGCGTGGTCAAGTAGGCAACAGAGCCCAAGGGGTTGTGACCAGGCCTCCTACAACACCTCAAGTTACAAGACCACCTGCTCAAAGAGGAAGTGGATTTGTACCAAATGGTCAAAGTCGGGGGCAGAATAGTGGAAACAGCGCATCATTTTCTGGAAGTAATTGCTAAATAAATGGTTTTTTTTTTCATCCGCAACGGTTACCTGTATGTCGCATTTTAAGTTCATTTGGGAGGTACTTATCTAGTAACATCAAAGCTACGTAAAGAGGTTGAGGAGCAAAAAGATTCAAGTCATTTTTCAAATCAAAACTGTTTCTTTTCCATTTTAGGTCATAATCAATTTCCATCAGCTGGCTCAGATAATGGGTAAGTACTAAGTCTGTACTAAGAAACCAAGAGAAACCTCGAACTGCACAAATTAACTGAGCAGAAAGAGGAATGCTTGTATTGAGCTTTTACAATCCAGTTCACACGAAGTAAAGACTGAAATCACGTTATAACAGAATATGAAACCAACAAAGAATCTCATAGCTGGGATCGTACTACTACTAACAGTAGCTTGCCCAAAAGAACTAACTTGTGTGCTGCAAAAGTGCGTGATGTTCTGTCACGTTGCTAGATAGACTTGCAAAGGTCTCAGCCTAGTAAGGTTTTGTCAAATAGTAACTAACTTGAGTGCTGCAAAAGTGCGTGATGTTCTGTCACGTTGCTAGATAGACTTGCAAAGGTCTCAGCCTAGTAAGGTTTTGTCAAATAGTGCGTGATGTTCTGTCACGTTGCTAGATAGACTTGCAAAGGTCTCAGCCTAGTAAGGTTTTGTCAAATAGTGCGTGATGTTCTGTCACGTTGCTAGATAGACTTGCAAAGGTCTCAGCCTAGTAAGGTTTTGTCAAATAGTGCGTGATGTTCTGTCACGTTGCTAGATAGACTTCCATGTGGTCTCAGCCTAGTAAGGTTTTGTCAAACAGCAGCTGCATAGTACGGGTAGGAATCGTCTCAGCGGAGTCGTTGTCATTGCTGTTAGAGAGGTATGCTGGGTAATTAAGCTTAGTTAGGCTTTCGCTCCCCTAGAAGCTTTTCGTATCTGAATGTTTGTTTGTCAGAGGTGATGAGAACTGTGTTGTTTGTTCTTGTGGACAACCTGCAATGATGCTGACCGTTAAAAAAGATGGACCTAATAAAGGTGAGTTGAGATCACTGTTATCTAGTTGTGTTATTTAATATACCAGAGGCTGAGATATATGAAGGATTCTGAAATGACGGATATATCAATTTTGATACTTTGTCGTCAGGTCGGCCATTCTATAAATGTTCAAACAGAGACAATGGTTGTGGTTTCTTTTTATGGGCTGATGATGATTCTAGCGGTTCGTCTTCAACATTTGGTCAAACCGCTCCTCTGAGATCAACTAGCAACTTCAACAGGAATAGTATAGGTATTTCACAATTGTCATGTGATCGTGTGTATTATTCTCATGTAAGTAATCTTCTTTAAGATTAAAAAGTGTAGCAGCCTCTTGATCAGAAATCAGTTTTCATTCGTGAATATTTAAGTGACTGTATGTAATGACTGGAAAGTACTTTTTTTCTAAAATCTGCAACTTACCAAAATCATGTATCTCACAACTTTCCTTCATGTAGATCTTGAACCTTTGTTATGAATGTTGATACTCCTGCAGGGACAGGAAACGTATTAACGAATAACTACGCTTTGTTCTTTTAGGATTTAATTCTGACAGAAACTCGACTTTCCCAGGAAGCAGGTACCTTTTTAACTCTCAGTCCGGATAACAGTTTTAGTCTGAATTGTCAAATATTACATCTCTGCTTCATGTAAAGCCTCAGATATAATTACTTTTTAATACTTTTCCGGGCTATGTTAACATTGCAGTGGATCATCGAATACACAAGGCTCTGGACCACCTTGTCACTGCAGTGAACCGGCCATCAGGTACAACAGTTTTACTATATATGGTAAACAAAATTGAGCTCATTAGGTGAAAAATACTCAAATGAATTTACAATCCTTCTATTCTCAAAACATAACAACTGCAACTACAAAATGAAGAAGTTACTAGAATCGTATCTTTACGAGTTGTTTCCATATTTTTCAGTCGCACAGTTTCCAAAGAAGGAGCAAACAAAGGTCGACCGTTCTACTGTTGTGCTAAACCGAGAGGCCAGGGCTGTGATTTCTTTGAATGGGGTGACACAACAGGGTCATCAGCAGCTATCAGCAAGTTTAAACCTGGAAGATCTGCTTCGTCAAACAGTGGAGGGGCAAGGAAAAGAAGATGTGGCCTTTGCCAACAAGAAGGTCGGATACTATCAACTTAAAACACCTTCATTTTGTGCTTAACTATTTAGTGCACTTTCCCTGGAAAACCCGAGTGTCCTGGTATTGTTTTAAACTTAAAATGTACTTCAACGGGTTGTTTGCATGTAAAACACTACTTTGTTGATTGTTTCGTTACCACGAGTAATGTGTTGATGGTTCTTCTGATGAGATAAAGCCTCGACATAAGGCTTGACGTTCTCAAATCTCAAGTCTTTCCAATCTCGCTTTGAAAATAAGGCCACGTGAAAATATTTCACCATACGACAACGATTTTTCTGAAGTGAGATTTTAAAAAAATTCACCAAAATAGGCCAAAACTGAGGCTTTTGTGATCTTGGAAATGGCTTACAGTCCCTTACTGGGGAAACGCCAATGTTACTTCCACTTAATTTCAAGAGAGGTCCCATATTTTATTGCACCAGACATGGAATTGTCAAGCTTTGCCACTTGTCACTGACTGTCAATTTTTATCTTTCATTTTTAGGCCATACCAAGCGAACCTGCCCCATGAACCGATAAAGTCACTGTACGCAGACTTCGACTTTTTTATATGTTGATTTCAATAGGATTGTAAATAGGGTCCTAAAGAAATATTTCGAGAAAAAAAATGACTCAAACTCTGTTATGAAACAAGTCTGTGACTGATGTTATACAATATATCTATTGTAATATTTATCTGTAATTCTGGTTTCCTTTTGTTGCAGGAAGTGCACTTTTACGCTGCGCTTAACGAAACAGTGTAAGATTTAGTGCGTCCATTAAGTTAAATTCCTTGATCTAGATATCGCCAAAGAACAAAGCTAAACGTAACTCTGTTTACTGCACTACAATACAGGTTGAGATCACGTACTGAAAGGTGTAGGAATATTGTGTTTGTTGCATTTTACGAAAGAGGTGTCGGTTGAAAAGGACTCCTTTGAATTAAAGTGTTTACCTCAGGCCGGGCGTTAATTGTGGAGTAAGCGCTTCCTTATGGTGTAACAGCTGTATTTCGCAACCTAAGAGATCAATGCAAAGGCTAGCAAAAACTAACGATAAAAACCGAAACGTCGGTTTTTATCGTTAGTTTTTGCTAGTCTTTGCATTTCTAAATCTTTATTGATAAGAGATCAATGGGTTTTTAAATCATTTTACCAGACTGTTATGTTCAGTGATTCACTGCTTTTTCCCTTAATTATTGGTGTTGGCCCTTAGCAATCTTACCAACAAAAATCAACAGAACAACGGTGCAATGCTACCCCACCTTTTTTCGTTTATATATTTTTTTGACATTGGATTTACAAACACCGTAAGGGATGATAAACTCGTCATGGCTTCAAGGTTCGACACTAACAGTAGCCAACTAGCCACAGACTAGTAGAAATTCAGTTTTTGCTATTGATTTTCGATTTCCACGAGCCAGTTTGGCTGTTAAACAAACTGAAATTGTTGACATCTAAGCTCTCACTAGCCACTTGGCTAGTAAGTTGAAAAGTTAGTGTTGAGCCATAGGCTTTAACTACTTTGTCGCGCAAAAGAAAAAAACAAGAAAAACGCTTTCAACAGAACGGGAAAACATGATATGAGAGTTTTCTTAAATAAAGTCCTGCTCTTGGTGATGTGAGCAAATGTTGGAAATTATTAATGGAAATACTTGTCGAACTGCATTCATTTGTTATCTGTGAGTTACTGCCCTAGAATTTGCGAGACCGTTTAACTGTAGTTCCTAGTTCCTGTCCGCTTCGTGCTTCATGGCCTTGCTTACCATTGTCTTTTCTATTGGTTAAGCCAAAAGTTGACAAACAATTTCTAGCAGACTATGACACTTGTGAACACAGATTTCACTGAGCAAAACGATTTAAAGCAATGGCAATGGAATTGAGACTTCATCGCTGTGGTGTAAGTGATTTAGTAATTACTCCGTTAACAAAACAAAAATGATGTTTACACCAAGAATCACACATTAAATGAATTGCTTAAAAAGTTGTGACGCAACTTAGTTTCCGAATTGCTTCACCGTACGAGTCATTCAGTTACATTGGAATCAGAAAAATACGTTTTACATTTTTTTTTTACAGCTACTTTACTCGAAGATGGAAGTAGGTGTTTTGTCTTTCACAGAGTTAGGTTGTAACTTTGAAAGAGCACTGATGAGACTTGAACTTTCAAAACTTTCAAAGTTCCAAAGGTTTCAAACTTTCCTGAAACATTTATAGAGCTATTAGGCCCTCCAACCTAGAATTTCAAATTAGCAAAAATTACTTAGAAACATGTCTTTTCGTAGGTTTTTGGCGTAGTAAGAGTTATTGTACCACAGGCGAACCAAGCTCTCTTTAAGAACCACACAAGGAACACAATTTGCATATCGATTTATAAGGATTTGTATGGGATTTTCTACAAGATATCCATGAAGATAGTTAAAAGTGAAAATACTAAATAAAAATGGCTTACCTTATTCCATACGTGTGTTGTTTGCTCCTGGTGTCGTTATTTTACTGATTTAACTTGATTTAAGCGGGGTTTTTTTTAATCCTGGTTTTCTCTAAACCAGGATTAAAAAAAAACCCGCTTATGTTCCTTTAGTGGTTCTTAAAGAGAGCTTGGGCCGCCTGTGATTATACTTTTTCAGTTTTGCCCGGTAGCTTCGCAATTTTCGCATTTCGATCTTGAGAAAGTGGAAATGAAGCGGCTTCAAAACTACCCGATTCTGAACTCATGAGAGGAATGCACAACAGTCTCTCTGCAACCAAAATGATCAGGGAAAGATACCTCATTGAAAAGAAAAAAAGCGTCAGTCTAATGGATCAAGGTGAAGTTTTTCCTTTTTTGACACTTTGGATGTAATAGGTTAAATATTAATTTGTGGGTTATACCATAAAGCAAGCTCATCCTTACAGATAAACTGAAATTGTAGAAGAAAGACGCCTGAATAAACCCGGACTTCAAAAGGACTCAAACCTGAGCTTCTTCGAAACTAATTGGACAGATAATTTCACGATGAACAACGCCTTTCTTTGTCAGTTTAAACTCACTATGAACATGTACCAACGTAAAAGCTACGAGGTACCAGGTCCTATTAATGTGGATTAAAAAAATCTGCGAATTCATCGGCGTTGGGAGCGCGCCCCGACCAATCACGACAAAGATAGCGTTTCTATTCACTCAAGGCGTGTGTCCTCCTCGCCGACATGTACTCCATTGCAAGAGAAAGGGTTTTTATACTTTAGATAGGAGAGAATTTCTCATCTTGTAATAGTTGACGCAAATCTTTCTAGAAGATACAGTTTTATTTTTAAAGAGATATTATGAAGAAGTACAGTTGCCGGGACTCCATTGAAACCTTGCAATTTTTAAATACGGCGGTTCTTCTCGGAGAGCAGATCACATGAGTTGAATTTCTACGTTACTTGCATTTTACCTCTTAAACAACTCTTTCCTAAACTGAGTGAAATTATACGACTATTTTGAATTCCCGATCTCTATTTACGAAATTTTGAAAATACGCAAGTGTTGTCTTTTCGTTCAAAATCAAATGTGTTTAACGCTGTCTTGAATCCACTGTATTTATATTACTCGTTATACAAGGTGTAATGAGAATTTTAAAAAAGTGGACAATGTAAACCAGACATTTTTCCAGAATGTCATGCTGCTTGGCTGAAACAAATGAAAGAGCTGACTGAAAACTCGTGATCGGTAGTGATGATCAATTTCGATTGTCATTTATGAACGTCCAACTGAACAATAGAAAAACGTTTAATATAAGATGCAGCCGGATGATAAGATATAAGGACAAGAGACCATATAATTTCACCACATATGCAGGGGATAAAACATGACAAAAGATATTGAACATTTTGTCGCGAGCGTAGCGAAGAAATATCCGAGTGGCTCTTGTCAATTCGAATCAGAAGTCTTCGAATTTTGTGTTCAGATGCTCTGCACTCTGCACATGAACTACAGGTACCTCGCTAGTGAATTGAGCAAAAACTGGTTCACACGTGAGAGAACATATATCTCAAGAACGACGGCGATAATTTTTTTGATGATGAAGTCAGTACTCCTGTTTCAATGAACACCTCGTTAAAGATATATTAGAATCTCGAATTTCCTCGTAAATGCGGAAATCAAGCACTGTAATTGTGCTGCAAAGAAGCTTTTGATTTGCCGGGACCGGAACTCAACCAGCACGTTTCAGTAGATATAAATGATTTCACCATTGAGTTTATTGGCACCTTGAATCAGATCCCATGTGCTAATGCAGTCATGAAGAAAGCACCTAAAGAATTGCTAATTACAGCCATTTACAGCCAGTCCAATGTCGCGCGTTTCTACACCTTAATTGGTTTAATACAGTAGCTTGATTTACTTAATTGTTAGGTCAGCCCCGCCTTATAGACCCTTGGAACACAACAGAAGTCAAATGCCTTTGATTTCAACCAGTCACACAATTGAATGCAGTGAAAAGGCAACGATTATGCCAACACACTACAATACCTTTTCATTTAATCCTCGTTAATTGATTTAATGTTGCTAAAGGACTTTCAGACAAAGAGTGATATTGGTAGCAACACAAATAGCATAAATGTGGCTCTCTTCTACGTTCAGAACGCAAAGAAGCCAGCATCGTGTTGAAGATTACAACCTTGATTTTTTCCTGCGACCAAAAGATTACAACGGCTGGGAATGGATCCTGAACTGCAAAGTGCGGGGTTCTCCATTTCAAACTTGCTGGGATTTGACACAAAAACTGAAAGCAGTAACAAAACTCAACAGAACTTTTCGAGAAAAAACAGTGAGTATTTTGCATTGATGCGTGGCTTTAACTTTTTTCATCCATTGCTGAAAAATAAGTTAAAACTGTTTGATTTTTGATCATATTTGGATTGATTTCTTTGCCTCTGATTATACTTAAAAACGAGAAACGTAAAAGGCAACAGTTGTGTGACCTGCCGAAAAACCTAGCCACACTGTGAGTATTCCACAACTAAGTTTCACAGCAGAATAGTATTATTTCTTAATAGTGTGAAATGTAAATAGTTTCAATTGCTGTCAAATCCGTGTATTTTTTTTTAAGGGAAGTTCCTCACATGAGAACAACGTCGATTGGTTACGAAATAATCAAGTAGCGATACTGAAGCTGCAAAATTAAGAGAAAACCGACAATGACCTCCCCGAATGGTTACAATTGGGAAAAAAAATGAAAAACAGACAATCTGTGTAAAACAAGTTCTACAGTATGAGAATAAGCTTGGTTTCGTATCACTGATTCATATTAATTCTGTACATTTCTTTGTAAAAAATACCAATCGTTTAAATCGAGGTGAAGGCTATGGATGAAATGCAACATGTACAGTGCGATCATGTCAATTTTCAGATACTGTATAATTATTTTCATCTTCTTTTTTTGAATAAGGAGAACTCACTGAGTGAAACTTTACTCAGGAAAACGGCTTACAAAGTAGAAAAAAAGAAAGTCGATCCTACCGAAAATCGTGAACAACGTTGATGATAAAAAAGTACTTTTAACAAGCGACGCAGTATTGTGGCGTATAATAGAAGTTCTTTTATCGAGATGGTGAGGTTTATATTTCTCTACTCCTGGCTGAAAAATGACACATTTTGAGACGCCACTTATTGATAACTTAAGCAGGATTGCACAGCTTCGTCAAGCTCTTCTAAAAGTACCATTTTTTCCTAAGAAGATATAGTTTTCCTAATGAAAGTTGTCACTAAAACTTTTCGAAACTCGTATTTCACTGTAGAAATAATTACGCTAACATTTTTTCTGCGAAGTTTTCTCGTCTTCCGCTTTCAGTCTGTCCAATCCAACTGAAAACTGAATAGCCGACGACACTTTTTGAATATAATCATACATGCGATGTTGGTCAGTTTATTGCTCTTGTTGTGGCATCACTCTTCGAAATATTCACTCTATTGGGTGGGGCGAATTAATGTTAAGTGATCTCGAGGGACTTGACTTGGCTCTGTCAAGCTCACGAGAGAGATGAACAACTTCAAATGTCTTGAACCAGCCCAATCCATCTTGTAAGCTCTGTGAAGATTTGTGAGTGTCAGAAACAATGTAAGGAGTCTTTAGTGATTCTGAAAGGTGGAAAGTGGAACTTGAAAATATTATAGTCCCATAGGAATTCGATTGTAGAAATTTCTGAATAAGAATTATCCACGAAGTTGCTCATTTCTCGATTTGTCAAAAGGTAATTTCTCCAAACAAAACTAACACATTATCGGTCGACGGGCTTGAAAGATGTTGATGGTCATCATAATGTGAAGAGGAAAATGTTGTGAGTTTTTAAAACTAATTTCCTCACCGGCCTATTCTAATAGACAAAGAAGAAAATAACGAGAAAATGACGCCAAACTCCGAGAAAACCAGGCCACCTAAAAAATTGAAAAGATGTATTGGAGGTGACAGCGAGAAGCGCTACAGAGCAACATTTGACAAGTCACAGATCTATCAGATGGAAAGAGTGTTTCTCCTAAACCACTACCCTGATGTAGCAGCCAGATCTGAACTGTCCAACAGCACTGGATTATCAGAAGCTCAGGTGCAGGTAAGGTTTTATTTACACAAAGTAACCGCTTGGATAAGTAAGATTTGTACTTTATCGTTTGTCTTACTAACCAACCCTTTATGACTCGTATATTATAAGCTGAAAAAAAACTTCTTCAGCCGCGGTACCTTTTAACATCAGATAATCCTATTCTATAAATGCTAAAGTGCAAAAAGGGTCTGGCTATGGCAAATTTTTAATAAACAATAGTTTGATCTGTTTTTGACAGATCTGGTTTCAGAACAGACGGGCAAAATGGCGCAAACAACAAAGAAAACGTCGCCATGATGTGCCCGCCATTTTCGGTTTGGGTTACCCGAGTCATTTGGCTCGTTTTTGTGGAGGTTTTGAACCATACACCCTATTCCCATACGAGTATTACAACACCGATTTCTGGACATGCGCACGACAGCAAGTAGCAGCGTTTCAATTTGCCTCGTCGCCAAGCACACCCACACCACCTGCGTCGTCCAGGCCCCACGAATTGTACACGCCCAAGTCTGCCGACTCGGCAGCTTCTAGCTCGGAAGAGGTCCAAGGTGAGGTCGAAAATTTGGAAATTCGTAACGACTCAAGTCTGCTTTCGCTGCGGTTGAGAGCTAAAAAACACATTTCCTCTATGGAACTAGAGTCTCAAGGGGTTTAGAGAATCGACGAATCGCATGGATCTTTTATGACGGAAATGTAGCTGTACATAAGCGCGTGGGAATTAAGATTAGGATTTTAGATTTATCCTGTGATATTAATACCTCGGAATTAAAAAAAGTCTTTAAAGATTTATCCGTGACAAATATAGAATAAACGCTATCAGAAATGATAGCCTAGTTTAGGGATTGCATTTGAAGCTAAGCTGAATGCTGACAGCTTGATTCATTGGCGAAGAGAGTTTATTTTGAGCTATATCATAAATACGTAAAAAGCGATGTATTTATTACACTATCATTGTATATTTTTCCTTTCACATTTTAAAGAAATTTCTTTTTGCTTCGAGTAAATTTTTCTGTAAACAAATAATAAAACCTAACTCTGAATATTTACAACATGTGCTTAAAGATGGCCAGTTCTTAGTTAACCATCTTAACCTTGGGTTATTTTAGGGTACAAATAGATTCCATTCACAGACACTAAGCAGGATGACGGGATATAAGCAGAATGGTGTAAAGTTCTTTTAAAGTTCCGACGAGTAATCAGTCATTATCTGAGAAATTCCTCCCACTAGACAAAAAATGTTTTTTCCATTTCCCCCTCATTTGAGAAAGACAGATGAAAACAACACTCAGTAAGGTTATCGAGTCTTTTCAACCTGTCTAACAATCGCGTTTTCAGTTCAGTACTTGACTTCTGTTAGAGAACTTCAGTCGAAAGCAGGGCTTTTAATGTCTTGAATCAGTTACAGCTGTTTGAAATGACTGGAGATCAGACCGTCAACTCCAAAACACCTTACACTATACTGCGCTTCCGGAGACCCTTTAGCGGTGAAAAGGTACCTAATTAAAAAATTATATGGAGCATTCTCTTAAATCTATTGAATTTAACGTTTCTTCAGTAGAAAGAAACACCCAATGATGCGTTAATAACAACAGATAGTGTTTTGGATGCTCTCAGCATCAACTGATCCCGTCTCTGTGAACAAAAGGCAGTGCTCTGAAGGGGGGGAGGGGAGGGAGGGGGTAAATTATTTTATCCGCCCTTTCCTTATTTTTCGACTGACCTAAGTGAGAAGAGAGAGAAAGAAAGAAACAAGGCAGAAGAAAATAATAATGCTGATTTTGTTTCTTGTTCTTGTGAATTCTGGTACAAAAATTTTATATATAGGACAGCTAATTTACGAATAAGTGCCACCTTAAGCAGATTATCAATGATCTGTCATCTCAAGATACTATTTCCTGAAGTGAGTGTATGAAACGTCAGAAATGGGTATATTAATGAGTTATATACATAAAGATTTCCTCTAGATAAGATGATTGCAAGCTAGACAATACATAGCTAAACTTTCCGCGAAATTTCTCAGTTGGCAATGGGGAAACAAATTTAATTTTAAAGAAATTACTCGTGAAATGCCTCGGTAGCCCATATATTTAAAAAAAAAAGAAAAAAGAAACTCAGAAAAACAAATTATGAAAAATACGAATAAATGAATATAAACCTGAAATTTGTGGGTAGTTATCTGTTTTAAAATACCATTTACAGGTGTTTTGTTTGAGATATTCATCAATACTCCCACACGACTGAAGATGAGCGCTGTTGTTGAAAGAGTTGTGCCTCGTGTGTTATTATCGCTTTTCATGAGTTTCTTGCGCAGAAGGTTTCTCGAGTTTCGGATTAATTCTACTAACCACTTTGACTACATTTGATCAAAGCCTGCCGAAAGAATAGACTCCAGTGATGTACTTTGACAAACAAAGGCAGCCAAGAAATTGTCATGGCACACGAAATACTCTTCTGTGTCCGGCGTAGTAAGGAAGCCTTAATTGAAAATGGTGAACACCCTTGTGAAAACAAAACTCGGCGCGTATTTTTGTGATTTGTTATTGTTTTATCTCATCAAGAGTAACAATGCTCTCGAGATCATAATTAACATATTTGCTAGCGGTAAATCGTTCCATTTAAGTCGTCAAGACTTCCTGAGTCCGGCAAGTTTTGGGCTGCATTTTCAACAAAGACAAAACTAGGTATCTTACTTAAACATAAATACTGCTAAATTTCGTGTATGGCGTGGGTATCAGAAAGATCTGGGAACAAAACAATGTAATTATGTTATGGAAATGAGAAGCGAAACAGACGTTTTAAAGGCTTCACTACGCAGATTAGCGGTGTTATATGTTATGAAGCGGGCGACAACAACAGTATCAGTAGAACAGGTCGAAATATGGGAGAAATGACAAGCAGCGAACAAGTACACTTGGAGGAAAGCAGGGCCCTTAGCGATAGAGAAACGACACTTAGACGACAAAATATGCTGAACACCATAGGAAAGAGCTTCTCTATTCACATGGAAGAGGACGAGAATGAAAACGTGTTTGTAAAAATTTCAGAAGCCTGCAAATCTGAAGCGGCGAAACAGAGCAGTTCGCTGTTAAAAGTCGCTGAAGGATTATGCAACAGAGAGTCGCCTGGATCACAGCGTAGGGGCAAGATATTTAAAAAACTTGCTCCCGAAGTCGAGAAGCACGTGTTTAATGAAATGCAGCAGGATCTATGTAAAAATATGTGGCAAGAGGCTAGACTACGGGTATTCGGTACACCAAGTTCAGAGCCAGTCGGTAGAGAAACGGCAGTGACAACAAGCTTGACTAACACAGATCAAGGTGTTTGATCCGAAGGAAACAAAACTCACTCGAAAAGGCATTAGTGTTCACGATGTATCTTCGCTCTTGTGTTTTTTCTTTGAAAACGGGATGGGAACATCACATTTTAATGGTTTCAATAAAAGATAATTGCAGCAAGAACCTGCTTAAGTCACCTTTGCACTCTACAAGGATGCAGTGTCGGAGAGGGCAGCTGTTCCTTGAATGACATTTTAAAAAATAGTCATTTTCAAAGCTCAAAAGACTTTCTAAGAAAAAAACTATTCCTCTATCTTGAAATCATCGCAGTGATACCGGATATAAAAGATATGAGGAGGAAAAAGAACCAAAACAGACGCATTAGAGTTAGATGGGCTTCCTGCTTAGTCTCAATGAAAAGAAGCTGAACCACACCAACGTCCTTCTAGGAAAAATGTTGACGACTTCGATGCAATGAAGTCCTCAAACAGTACAAAAATGTTTGATTTAATCACGTAAATTTGGTTTTAATTCATCATATTTCTTATTCAAACGTCTCTGCGATTTCGTGCAAACAGGAAATATTCAGACACCTTTACATTCTAGTTAGTCAATATTATGTAACTAATAAAAATTAATAAATTATATTGGCTAGGTAACGATAGATTTCATCATTTTTGCTGGATAGATCAAAACAAAAGGAAAATGATCCTGTACAACAACGAATCCAGATCGATCGAATAAGAAATAACTAACGCTAATGTTTGATTTTGGTGCATTAAATAACCGGTTCGAGAAGGAAGTTATATTTTTCTTCGCATAAAATTTTGAAAGTCGTCGCCAAGTCTTGTCACATTCAAAGTATGACGAATCGAACAACATAAAAGCAAACAGAGAAACGAAATACTCAACTTTACATGAACAGCGCTAGTGTTGTTGCGAAAACAAACCGGTTGGTAGTTTAAATTTTCATTGTAATCATTCATTCAAGATAGCAAGGTTCCAGTAGCCCAAATAAAGGCTAATGATTAATGTTCTATGATTCGCATAATAAATGAAGTGATTTCAATAAAATTTTGAAGCCCGACGAAAGATATTATCCAACCATTTTCAATGATATGCTGGCCATGATTCAGTTATTACTTCATTCCCACTTTGTTGCGAATGTCGCTTTAAAAAAGATTTTCCAAAAACTGTTTTATTAGTACATATATGGCATTATTTCATCAACTAATCAAAAAAACCAACAACAGTTGTACGATAATCGCACAGACGTATGCTTTCTTGTTTCACCTAATACCACCTTTCATACGTAAACAAAGGTCCTACAACACATTCAAACAAACCTTACCAAGACACTTCCATAACACCCACACACACGTATTTAATCTTTCCATTCGAAAGCACCTTGGGCGCTAATCAATTTAATCCGCTTTTGTCACGGTACTTCGCACAGAATTGAATGCCTGTAATTATATTATTAAAATTGGTGTCCAAGGCCACTTTGACATGGGAGAAAAAAGTTTGAAGCGGAATTTTACAGTTTGCTAAGATTCTTGGCAAAGTAAGAGATAAAAAAAAAAAAAACTGCTGGTGAAAAGTTGTCTGCCCCCAAAATAACACGATTGCTATGGACTTTCACAGTTTGTTTCCTTGTTCCTTGTAATTGCGTTTTCAGCATTTTCATAAGCTGAAGTCTCAAGCTGTGGGTGTTTGGATGCTAACGTAAAAAAAAAACAAAAACAGGACAGCTGGGCTTATATAAAACCGGGTTTTCGTAATCTTGTATAACTAAATCAACGGGGTCTGGTTAAAAATTAAGACGAAACAAATCACATAAGAGTAGTAATTAGAAATATGAACAACTGACTGTAGCTTGTTGGTGCGCTTCGGCGGAATTAGGCGAGTTTGGTCGAGCCATGGTTCATATTTTAGCGAGACGCAGTCGAATGTAAATACCCACTGCGAGACCAAACGAGAATACAATTCTTCTAAAATTTTCATTGACAATAGTAACAGACTGATCCGTCTGTCAAAACTCTGTTTCATTGCAAGGGGGCAGCTGGAATGCTATTGCTCTGCTACATAATTGTGAAATGTAAGCGCAAATTCGCCAAACTGATAACTATTCATTTATTTATTGGCTGGTCCTGAGACTAGAGACAGCATTCTCTGCCCATCTTAATTCTCCTACTTCTCGTGTCTACTCTGCTGAACTGTGAGTGTGTTGAAATCAAAAGAAGAATTTACAATGTGATCAGTCTTAACAATAAAAAATTTCAAGAGTCTTCGACTCTCAATGGTTTGCCAATAGAAGTCCGTTGAAGGGAAAACAGGGGGATAACTATAAAATTGCAAATTGTTTCTGGTCACAGTTTTGCGGAGCAGGTGCTATGTTAATGTAAGTTCAGCAGCTGTACGCTTTGCAACAAGGGAATTCCAACATCGTGGGCTTCGTAAACAGCCAAAGAAAACATCTTTTGAAGTAATGAGTCGGAGTATTCTGAAATAAAAACAAATAAACAAGGAAACAGAATTAAAAATAGGGAGTAATCCGAAACCGGACCCAAAGGATTTCTAACGTATTCTAAGGTGGATTAAATATCTTGATCAATTTTAGCGCGAAAGAGGAAATTTTGTGGAGACGAGAAATTCAGAGATCTTCCAAGAAATCTCTATGCCATTTGTATCAACTCACTCGCATCGTCTTGTGTGTTCCGATATGAAATAAGAAGATGTAAGCCGTGTTAAGAATATAACAAAGAAATCGCAGGAAATGCTCACCCACGGCTACTTGAAAGTTTACGTGCCTTTTAAGACATTATGCGCCTTTAGAGGTTTCAAAAAAGGTTTTTTCCACAAGCGGCTGCCAATGGTGTAACATGCGCCCGTGCTGTAAGGCGACACCCAAACATGAGAACCTGCTCGCGGGCTGAAAAGACAACGGGAGACCGCTGGTAACCGACAGAGCTGAATATCGAAATGTTACGACTAAGGTATGCGGTCAACAACGCGGGCTCAAGTGTACGAAGTTTATAATCATGCGAAATTCGCGGAAAATAATGAGGGCTGGCATTTCAAACCGAGGCATTTTGTGGTCATCGAAGGCATTTTCCCATTTCCAAAGTTTTTAGGGAGAAAATTGATTTTCGAAAATATTTGGGGGTGTACAAAGCTTTTGAAGGTTGTTCTGTCAAATAAAAGCGGTAAAGAAAACAACGCCACGAAGCAACAGAAGAGAAAATCATCCATCGCAAACGACTCAAAATTCATTTTCCGCCAAAATTTGGCGAATGCGCATACGTCATTCAGCCTTGTTCTGTAACCGGCTTTCATTCAAATCCCTGGTAGTACAAATCACTTATCCACTCACGTTGAGGCAATTTCCCGTACTTACCGTAACACAGGACGATGAACTCGGGCAGGAATTTCGACGCCGTCAAAATCACGTCAGGTTCAGTTGAATTAAGACAATCCATGTAGGTCTCTACAAACGTAACAGCCGTCCTATCAGAAAGACAAATGCAGAGTATCAAGTAAAAGTTAAGCTTGAATGAGTTTGACCCGGTTGAATAATGCAAGTTATGAAAGTAGTCACTTCCTCCTATCTGCGAGTAAGTCAAGCAGAGATGTGCCTCAAAAATATGAGAACATGTTGGTGGTTGATCGTATGGTTAGTTATCTTGTGGTGGAGTCCGACCATCTTCTGAACTAACTCTGTCCCTACGTTCCGTCCTACAGACTTCGAACCCTCGTGGTCGAAACTGACTCTTAAAACAAGACAAAGGACAAATTCTGAGAAGAGGTGCTTTTCCAATCAGCGAAAACGAAACTTGGGGTACAGAGACATACAAGTCTTCAACAGAGACATATGGAAATCCCGTTGTCACCGGAAGTCCTGGACCCGCACCCGACATGCTCCACCGATGCAGAAGAGGCACGAGCGAAAATTGTTAGTTTGGGTTGACGGCTCGCTGATTCATTATTTTATACTTTTTGGCAAGAAAATTACCCATCACAGTGCTTGTCTCCATCCGGGACTATGAAACATGTAAACCGAAGTAAACGCGAAATAGAGCATTGAAGTAAAGTACATTTCTTAAGTCAGGAGAAAACAAAGAATACAGTGCCTTGTAAAGAGGGCAGCTAAAATTAAACAGCCCCAGTCTCTCAGGTTTTGGTTCACTTTCCTTCGGTTTAGAGAATACTGAAGAGAAATTGACTTTGAAACATACCCTGGGTTCTGCCGAATGTGCCGCAGTAGAAGAGTGTGGGCCTGGGTCCGACAGGTACTCGTTGCATCAGAGAGGAGTCGAACCAGATGAGGCTAGAAAAAAAGTAGGAGATAAATACCAAATTGCCTTTTCAATAAAATCAAACCCTAAGCCAGCCTATTCACTCTTAACAACTATGCCGTGTTTCTAGGAAAAACGACCAAAACGATTCAAAAGCTTGTCAATCAACGTTCGTTGTTGCACTTTAAATATGACTGGGACTCACCACAAAGTAATCCAAAATGTCCACTCGTCTTTTAGACGTTTCATCTAAATCCCCAAGAACCTTCAACACATCTATAACACAAAATAAATGAGCACAAATCAGTGTCAAGTAGTTAGATTTTTCTAATAAAGAGCGTTTCCATGTAACCACACGTATAGAAAACTGTAGAGAAGTTTAAAGTTGAATTTTAGTTATCAAGGTAACTTCCATCTACTCTACCTTCAAGGGGTTGTCCAGGAGCAAGCCGTTGTACAAAAGGAGCGAGCTGTGCTGAAGACCACAAGATGTTCTCAGGTAGTGTAATAACAGACCGGACCTTCAGTTGTGTACTTGACGGAGCTCCTTCAGATGAGGGTCCTGGAGTAACGCTGACGTGGTTCAAGGGGTCATCTGAGTGCGGGCTCGAGGAGAGAGAGATGGCGCTCACTACACTTTGTAGAGAAGGGAGAGCAGGGAACTCTTGTAACAGGTCCCTAAACACAAAAATTAGGATTTATTTTACGATTTCCTTTCGAACAACTCCTCACATTTAATTGATGGAGTGCATATGGACAAAACTTCGACAATTCGCAAACTGAACAGACTTTGAGAGAACACACAACGTGCTTCAAATAGTACAGACACACTCTGATTGTCACTTACTGAAACAAGGAGCCTCTCTTCTGAAGAACAGTAGAAGCTTGATCAGGACATTCTGCACAGAAATGCTGAAGAAAAGGCATCAACTTTGTAACAACTGCAGCCAGCTCTTTGTGATGAAGACACTCGCCCTGACAGAAAACCAAGAATGTGCACAAAGGTATCCAAAAATAAAGAGCAATGGTTCTATAAGGACACTTTTAAAACATTACACAAAGCATTCTTCATGGATACCTGAATGAGGCCAAAGTAAGCTTCCAAAGTGTCCCGTAAGCCTTCTTGAGTGAGCTGTGTAAAAAATAAAGAAAAAGATGTTTCTGTATTTGAAAACCTCACTGGTGCATACAACAATGACACCATTTTATCGCCAAACGGAAAGCGATATAGCCTTAACTGTTCTGTAAGTGGAGAACACAATGATTCTGAATGGTAACTGGTTTAGCCAGGGTTAGGGCTCATAGACACTTTCCTGTCAATTGTCTGGGTTCGCATCCTATTGTAGTCTGGAGGAAAAACTACTACTTCAACTTTCCTTATCAAATTTTCTTGTATTTCTGGCAGCACTAACAATGGGGAGCTTAAGCACCAGGCGTTCATGATTCACGGAGGCGAAGCGGAAGTGAGTTTTCGAATATTTTTCCTACTGCGCATGTCAAAAGGTCGTCGTGATTTGTCACGGCGGCTGCCAAGGCGCTTGTGGCATCCGTGCTGATTTTCCACGACCGCCAATGGTCTAGATTGTACGCAGCAAAAAAAGCACAACGTTATGAACACCAAAAAGAGCTTCTGAAAATGGATTCGCATGAGGAAGTGAAAGAGAAGTCTTCGCCGTACATTTTCATTTGTTTTTGTGTTCAAATTCATCCGGGAGCTTGTCTGCCGAGAGTTGTCTCGTCACACTTAAATTTGACGTGACCTGTTTAATTGAATACTTGCCTTTCTAGCTTTCTGCGCATTTTTCTTTTATTTACAAGATCTTATTAAATAAAAATTTAACTGACAATTTCAGTTTTTTGTTAATAAACGCATTCATATAAAGTTTTAGGAGATTCTTTACCGACAACTTTCTTGGCAACCTCTGCGCATACGACTTGTTTACTTTGTTGAGTGTAAAGTTAACAATATAGAAACCCAAGTATAGGTACATTCTGGGTCGGGGATTACATCTGAGTCAAATCGCTGGTACAAGCCATAGCTGAATTAGAGGTTTCTTAATGTGTTTTCTTCGAGCAACAGAAGTAGTTCTTCGTCACTGATGACGTTCATGTCATGGCTTAATAAAAGCATTTCTTTAGCTTCTTTAAATGAACACATTTTCGTTGTTTCAAGTGCAAACGCACAACATAAAGCAATTTTTGTTTCTTTATTTACATCACGGGCTTGCAATTTTTATTTTCGCGTGCTTTCTACGCTCGTGTCCGTCGTGAAAAAAAAGGAGTGTGCTTAAAGTAAAAAATTCGCGTAAAGAACGCCAATCTGGATCTAGTCTCGCGGCAATAAGCCCTCCGTCGTGAAGAAAAGTCCTGGTGCTTAAGCTCCCTAGTACGACAGCTAAGCGGCGCTCGGCGAATTTCCAAGATGGTACATCAAATCAATCAGTAGTTAAATGCTCCATTATACTTAGGACCGGAACACGTAATGCAACAGAATGTTGCAGTCGGAGGAAATTCGCTCCGCGTGGCAGGAAAAGTGTTTGTGAAAACCACTTTACCCTGCAATAGTGAAAAAAAATTCAAACCGGTTTCAATTTGTGCGATAAGAGAATAGCAATCATAGAATGATCCACAGTGACTTCTTATCTTGTACGGTCTGGCCGTAAAATCTAATAGTTCGAATACAAAGAGGTTTGTTGCGAGTTTTTAACCTTATCAGATCTGAAGATATGCGGCCTTAGAAGATCCAGAACTCCCAAGACGTGGGAGAAGACGAGGAGATGTTGCTGATTGGTAAACTCCTTACGCTTTAGATGTACGCGGCCTCTGAGCTGTGCAGCAATCATGGGTAGATGCCTTGTGAAAGACAAGGAAAAGAAATGTTTAATTTCTAATATATACAGTGGCATGGCCTAACAATGAATTTGTTGTAACCTGGTTCGGATTCCATTCTGGCATGCTTTGTTTTTGCCTCGGGTACTAGTCTCGAAATTCCTCTGTCTTCTCGGGAGGATAACTAGATACAAACAAAATGGCACAGCAAGAAGTTGAAATTGAGCTATCAGGGGCTCTAGCATTACCCAAAAAAGACTTCACGCTTCACGCCTTCCATTCAAATCCGAAAGTAATCTCCGATTCCAAAGGTTCTACTTCGCCCTGCTCTGTAATCGGTCTGCAGTAAAACACGTCTCTTGAAGCGCCTTTAGTTTTATCAAAACACCGCACTTAAAATAGATAAACCGCAAATGACAGCTGTTCGCGCTCCATAATCGTAAGAATGTACCTTAATAAGAGCATGGGATGCTCACAAGCCAGTTTCTTCAGTAGTAGACTTGAGTTGTAAGCTCTGTCTTCGTACTCCTTACCAGGCTTCGACTCAGCCAAACACGACAACACACGGTGGCACAGAACATCCAGCTGAAAAGAAAGTATTTGAAGGAAAAGGCAATATAAAACGACCACATCTAGCTGAATCAGTCAAATCTTCAGTGACAAAAAGAAGCATTACAAACCTGACAATGGCGTGACTGACTAACAACAGCGGAAGTGGTCAGGGACCGGAAGTTCTTAATATATCGCATCACCCTTGGCTGGGCGAGGTAAAGCTGAACCAAAAACTGAGCTGTGAACCATTTCGACCATCTATAACACGGGAAAAAAACAATTTTCAAACTGGTTCAATTTTTGTCTTCTTTTGTGTCAAAATAAGGTAATAGACCTGATATGACAGTTTGAAAAGTTTAACCCCAGACATAAGGACAGTTATAGCCTTAACTTTAAGTTACTGATTTTTCTTCGTTAATGCTTTCATCCCACTGTAGCTTTCAAGATTAAGGAACTATTGGTGGATTTATGCAAACGATGCAACAATTCATGCTCTGTGTATGAAATTGTGATAATTTTCCTGATTCACTCAACAAGTGCATGTTACCTTGCCCTATAATTACAACCCGGCATTTCAGTCTTATATCAAATGTATATCTTTTACCTTGAACTGTTCAAAGCACAGCTGACTGCACATTGAAACTTCTTTTTGTCACCATGGCAACAGAGGGTGATTAACTGAAGTCTCCTCCCTAACACTTTAGCTGCAAATTGCTCAACTTCCTCTCTGAAGGAAGAATAGAAACCATTGTACTCAGTATTCAACCTGCTAAAAAACATCGTGACTAGTCGGGGCAAGACAATCTCAACTCCAGTTTTTTACTTTTTGTAAGTCTTATCCCGGACAGCGCTGTATGCATGATGTTCATGTAAAATCTCCTTTCAGTCTGGTTTTAGAGTGGGGAGACCCGGTGAGTTGATCAGAAAAAAAGTTCCTTCACTCCTTATCTTACCTGATTTCTCCCGATATAACAGGGTTTCCATCTTTCATCTCTTCAAAGAAACGCTTGTACCTGGGACCTTAACAAGAGAATAAGCAACGTTACGCTAAAAAAAACAACAACATTTTGTCTTAGCTTTGCGGGTGTTGTGATAAATATTCGGGTGTACCTTTTCTTTCGCATAATTCCTCAACACTTGTAGAAAGCTCGAGCAAAATGAAACCCGTGAGCGAGGAGACCTGAGGCGGGCTCAAATCAAGGACTGGCTTTTCAAAAACCGCCTGTAGAGACAGTCATAAGAAAAGAAATGATAAATAGCAAACGAGAATGGCAATGCTGACAGTAAAAACTGTCAACAAGGGATGCCACATGAAGCCATTACAAAACTGGAACTCACATAAAAACGTTCACTTACAGAATTGGTTCCTTGACTGCCCACAGCAGTAGACTTTTGATCTCTGCCTTGCCAAAGTCGAGGACAATGGAAGCAGGTCCACACAAAATCCAAAGCGGTTGTTGGATTAAGCCTTAGTATAAAACAAAAGAACGATTTGTTCAGTAAAAAGCTACAGTTGCTCACGAAAAGCAACAACATCATTACATACCACTCGCCCTGATTCAGATTCGCCGGGTTACATGATTCACTAACTGGCATGTTATTCCTACTCTTGATTTTCAAACAACTTCGAGCGCTTTTCTGATTTTCTAGTTCATACCTTTTTCCTTTGCCATCTTGACCCAGAAGCCAATCTAAACAGTCCTGCAATGTTTCCCAGCATGCCTGATGCGCTAACAAACTCAAGAGATACGTGGACGGCGAACGCTCCTCGTGACCGGTCAGCGACCTGTCCCCACTGGGCGTGCTCTCTCTGTCCTGGAACAGAAGCTGACGCTGCAACAGAGGGTGAATGTGGACAACTTCTGGATCTATTATCTCGGACCAGTCCACCAACAAACCGTTGGACAAGTGGTCACGGGACGAGTCTGTTCCATCAGACTCTTTAAGTAGCTTGACGAGGATTTCTGAGCATGTCTTCAAGGGAAGAGACTGCTGTGGTGTCCATACCGCCGTATTCGAATCAGAATCTTTCTTACCTCTACCAGAAATAAGCGTTCTGGTAATGGCCTTCAGGAAATCCTCGTAAAGCGGAGAGTTCGCTTCCTTGAGCTTCAAACAAGCTATATTTAAGAGAAAAAGTTCAAAATATGTCAATTTAGCAGCTTCTCTTTGCCGAGAACAAGAGCAAAACACGCAATTCAAAAGTTGCTTTGAAAAAAAGGGATTAAATGAGGAATGCTCAGAACAAAAAATGCGAAAACTAACACATCATCATTTCAATAAAACTGTACATCTATCAAACCGCCGAAAGGATATCACAAAGCTTATTGACGATAAACTAACCTTTCACTGCTGTCTCCACACTGATGGAATCTGGCTTCACCATACGATGTTTACAAGCAGACAGAAACTGTCTGACCAAAGAAGCATAATCAACCTTTTCACTTGACGCAATTTGTTCAAGGACATTTCCAGCTAAAATGCGTGTCAAAAGAAGTAAAATAATTATTAAATAAATGCCAATGAAATCAAGAAAAATTTTCTTTTCAGTTTAGCATTATCTACCCAATCATTTTAGTCGGAGATACACTAGCAACCATGCTGTCAGAAGTACGTTTTGCTCTCGCTAAAACATTGACAAAGCACCCAAATAAAAAATCACCCATAGTTTTTCCTTCGTCAAAACAACATCATTATCAGTTGAAACCTTATGAATCTGTACCGAGTATATGCAAACGCCTCGCTTATCATTGAATGTTTGAGAGCAGATGCCAAGCTGCTCCCACAAAAGTTGGTAAAAACTAAATCGAAAGCTTTAATCTTACATGATAGTGTCTGTTCTTTAATTCCTAATTGTTTCTTGTACTGTGAAATGGCAGCACTTAGTGGACCATCTAACAAAGGAAAAAATGAATGAGTCTCGTTAAAGTTACATTTACTTCTGCTTGCCATCACAACTCATGTAGCAGTATATTTTACACTTCCCTCCTGCATGGTCATAGCGCTCTACGCTGATTACGTCTTAGTTTGACTTCTGATTGGCTAATTAGATTATTTGCATTGTCGTAATTGGCCAGAGGAAAATTAGTTCAACTAATTGGTTGATCATACGTGCATTTCAAACCAATAAACCGATTATTAAATATTAATAACTTATAGGATAAAATACTAATTCAGAGCGAAGATAAATCTTAATCACGAGTCAGCGTGACTTCCCCACGACACGAACCACAACTCAATCGTATCAAAAGAAAAATTTAAATTTTTCGGTTAAGAATTCTTTGTGGACTTATCTAATTGATAAACTTTAGTGTCATTTTTCTAAACCAGGTTCCAAACTTTCTGCAAACAGCTTTACTAAGAACCAAATGAAGCGCATACAGTTGACGCGTAAAGGAGTCCATCAAAAAATGGGAACATTCAACTACAAAAAACTGATATTAGAGACCTACGTAATTTTCGCCCACATCGTGAAAAGACGGCGCGTAAATAACAATCAGAATTAAGAACTTTGCTTTAATACCTGCCAATCATACTGACTAACCTGTAAGATTGCGGCTGGACAATTTACTTATGGTGTCAAAAAAACTACAATGAAATCCTTTCCTTTTCAATGCCATCTGGAATACATTAAAATGTAAATATTAGTAATAATAATATAGACAGATCCGAAGAGCTGTAGCGGACACATTACAGACCTGTCTAGACCTTAAAAGTCTTAGAATGGAACAAGATAGAGCTGTCTTGTTCAACATCCCATCCAATAATCTCTGGCCATCATCACAATCCATAACCTACAAAAAGAATGCACAAGTCAGTCTAATAAATACAGCTTATTCCATTTTAAAGCATTTTTTTTTTCGTGGCTGTTATTCAAAGTATCTATTATAACGCAATTTTGAAATCGATAAAAGCGTTTTCATGCAAGTTACAACTAGCGCCAGAAAAAGCTAGAATACACATGAAAACCTCTTTACGTACGCACGATCAAGCGAGTCTGGGCAGAAAGTGCGAAGAAATCACACAACAGACAGACAACAAGAGGGGGGTGGAGAATTTACGCTATATAACATGCGCTACGGTTTGAGACGTCGGTCGTTCGGGCTCAAATTGATTAAAAGGGTGATTGGAATAGTTTGTTATACAAAAACTATAGGGAAGGAATCTAAAGGCGCTCATCAACTGACTAAAATGAGTCAAATATGTTTGGAACAGTATTCAAATCTAATTACGGCGAGAAACTTGTGCATGATTTGTTCCGCTAAAGAGTCCTCTGGAATTTCCCCTCGGTTTGCGTTGATCAGTTCTTTGGTCAGTATCTTAGGGAGGCAAAAATAAATAACAAAAAAATTAGGAGACGTTTGCACTTAACTGTAACCCTGTTTTAAGAGAAAACTAGAACCTTTCACCACATAGGGGTATCAAATACAGTACATTTAAAAAATTTTGTAACTTTCCCAAAGGCCGTGGTTGACTTAGGCAGTTTTGCACACTTGCTCTGTGTTTTTTTGACATGGTCCACTTGCTGAAGATTGTCTTTTGATTGCTGTAATTTTCTAGGTAACGAAATAGGTGAAATTCCTGCCAAGCATTGATTCAGAGTAACAAATACACACCGTAGACAGTCCCTTCGTGGGGTGTCCAATTCTTGTTGTCTCAACAGATAAAGCTTTCTTACCTTTTTAACACGAGTTTCAATGCTGCAATGTTCTCTTGAACTTTCGACCTCGGGTGACAGATAAATCTAAAAAATTGAAAAAAAAAAAAAACCAGTTCATTAGGTTTTGCATGTCCTCTACGATGAATGTTTGTTATCTTTGACTGAAAATGCAATGGTTCTCTGTCATTATTACCTTTAACACCTCATCTGCAATCTGCTTATTGGTAGACGATTCGGCGACACTAGGGACAAATACCACAGACTTATCATAAGTGTAGCAAATCTCCACAGATATAACGATTATTCGAATACCCGATTCTATATTCTAGTGACTAGTTGCGCAAAACAAATTACAATTTTTCCCTCGAGCTTTCATGAGTAAAAGATGTCTCATCAAACCTCCTGGCTTCCTCTTTAGCGCTTGGCATCTCTGGCAGAGTAGCCAACGGTAATGGAGTGATTCCACCATCAAGCGCTGCCAAATTGCTGTCTGTAAGTGCAAAAATGATAAGGTTACAAGATAGCAATGGTTTTGTGGGAATATAAGGGGAGGTAATCGTTCAGGACTTAAGGACCGAGCTCACTTAATCCGCATTTTACCGAGATTTTCCTTCCTCACGGAGAGGTGTTTCACTACCAATATGACTCTCGCAAAAAATTATTTTCAACCAAGACAGAGCGAACGTATTTCACAAGAATTTCCATGATACCCCTCACAATCATTTCCTTGTCAATTTCTTGTCAAGTCAAATGCACTCGCAAATGTAATCGTTGGAAAGTTTCCCTTCAAAACTCTCCTTGATCAAAATTTGTTTGTCAGTTTTCGAACAATGCGACTGAACCAGGAAAAACAAGTGATATTTTATGAAAATAAGCTTTAAGAAAAAGGTACTGGTGTAACACAGAGCTCAATCAGGCAGCAATACAATAAAAAATAAATAAATACTTACTGTCTTTCTTTTCCGGTGTTTCTCCGGTCAGTAAACAGCAAAACAAATCTCCACCTTTAGCACCACGAAGTTGTTGAACCTCAACAAGCTGCACCATATAACCTGATAAGGTAAAATATACTGTAAGTAGTGGGTTTTAACGTCCATTAGGATACTCATTAACGTCTATTGATATCATGAGTTCAATAACACCATCAAACCATCAAAAAGAACCAGTGCAATCCTGAAGCTTCTGTTCAGATACAGGATGACTTAAAATGTAAAAGATTGTAGGTACAAACGGACCAATCAAAACACTTGTACAATTCATTAGATTTTACACATGGCCTTGAAACAAAGGTAACGAGAACAAATTCGCCATTATTTAGACATGTACAAGGTAGAAACAAATTGACATGAAAATAAAAATTTGGCAATTCAAACCTTTATCCAGCACTGCTTCTTCTATCCCTACAGGGTCCTCCTCAGTCGCCTTGTCCAGCTGTTGAAGAAGCTTGCTGAAATATAGAGTTGGTAAGAAAATAGAGTTGACGAAAAATAGGTACAAAAAACTTAATTTCAATCCTTATGTAACTTTAGTTAGTTAGAGATCCCTTTCGTGGCTGGTAAATGTAACTGTGATTTCCTTTTTTTCTCTGAACAATCTTGGTTTTGCTTTTAGATGCAAATGGTAAATGTTTTCAAGCGTTCTCATTTCAGGGTCTCGGTCCGAGTCATATTTTAGGATATGGTATAAATTTTACCTTTCCTCACAATCGCTATTTGACCATTTTTAACCACACGTAATACAACATGAAACTGGAAAGGGCTGCCATAACACCCGTTTTTGTTTGCTTCGCCTTGATTCTGTACACAATATATTTAAGTGAATGATTTATAAATTATATACAGCGCTTAAAGCATAACACATGTTTGTTTCTCACCTCATGCTACTGACTGGGATTCCAAACGACTGAGCAAACAGCACAAGTTGCGACGGCATCAACTCACTTAAAGCTGAGAAATCGGAAAGAAAAATGACTATCACAAGAAATGCCAGAAGAAAGACTAGAATTTCGGTTTCACGATCTACATTTCCTCATGAATTCTTAGAATTGGTCTTTCTGAGGACATCACCCTCTTATCCTCTTGGAGGTAAGTTTATCAATTATGACCTCTTGTTTAGTTACAACTTATCTAGTTGATATTGTCAGAAAATGGTTCCGTGCCGATCACTCAGGGGTATTACAAGGGTTCAGAGGGTTTCGTGATATATCACGTAAGTTGGGCTCCTTGTCAAAATTGACAATGCTTACCAGCATCGACCACTCTCGAGACCTGGGACCTGATCATGCGCAGTCTGAGCCACTCTTGCAGCAGAATGACCTCTTCTCCCGTGTCTGTCAGGTAAACCTTGACCTGTCCATACTCAGGGCACCAGGCATTCAGTAAAGTAGAGAATAGACTAACATCTCCTGAAGCCACAAAAACTTCAACTGTTGACTCGTTTCATTTAAAACGTCAGTGAATGAAAGATAACTATGATCTATTCACTCGTCACCCTAGCACGAAAACAAGCTATTACACGATATCTTGGTCCTTTGGCAACTTAGGAACGTGCCTTTTAATGAAGGATTACTTCAAAATCATAGTTTTCTAAAATAAACAATACGCCGAAAAAGGTTCACGGATGGAAAAAGATAGCAAAAATTACCAGGACCGAAAAAAAAACGCTAAACTTCTTATGATGCACAGACTATAATGTTGTTCCTTGTTTAAACTGAACTTTTGCGCATCGCAATAGTTAGCATTTCTAGACGAAAAAGTCAAGATAACCCTAACTCTTCGACACAAAATTATCGTCCTCAGAGAAAGGAACAGAGGTCCAGTTGCCAAGTAAACGACACGAGGCTGACGGCTTTGTCTAGCTTTTGAGTCTCACGATAAAAAAATTCATTCAAACATCTGTTGATTACAAGTATATCCCCAGAGTGAATCTTTCTACATTGAGAGATTCATTTCTTGACTAACCTTGTGGTTCTCCGTAAGTCAGCAACACAATCATAGCATGGATTACCAACACGTGTAAAGTGGCTGCCTTTCCAGCAAACTCTGTGTCCTTAGACCACTGCACAAACAACTGGTCTTGTGTTTCCTGCTGCAAAATTGCAAACCGTGAACCAATATTTAATCTCATTCCCATCAAAAGACATCTTATATAGTTTGCAGTTTAAGACTACAATTATAAAGTTCTCATGAGGACTTGCATTCAATACCGGGGAGGTTTTTTTACTTCTATTTGCCTGATGTTGCGGAAAATGAGATATCCTCAGGAAGGCAGAGCCACTAGGCTCGTGTTCAGAATTAACTTCATTTTGAAGGCTTAGCTTGTTCAAGCTTGCTAGCTTACCCAAGAGAAGCTCCCCTCTTGCATATCAATGGCTTGTTGTAAAGCAATGGTGTACAGCCTCAACAGTGCTTGGTAAGTTTCTTGTGCAGTGGGGCCTTCTCCAAGTACTGGAGTCATTATGGTCGGTCGCTCGATTATCAACTGTGCAATGTCCTGCAATCGAAGGCAAAGGATACAATATTTTTTATTATTTACATGAAGCAACTGTTGAGAGGCAGATTTTCCTTGGCAAGCGCGCCTAAAATGAAAATCTTGCTCTTTGTTTACTTTAGAAAAGACCACCGTGACTTATCAAGCGATCGAATTTTTTGGCATCGAATTTTGAATTTCATTTTAAAAACCATTCACAATTCTCTTGGCATGTATCCTTGTCAACCTATATTCGGTTGCAATTTTCGTCTCCAACAAGTCTCCCCGTTCTAAGTAGCCGGATTTTGGACAAAAGCAATTGTCATATTTTTCCATCTCGAAAGTAAAGAGAAAACCTGATGGTGTTTGCAAGAAAGAGCATACTTAACTAGGAATGCAACAGTAATAATTGTAGTAATTAAAAAACAAAACAAAAACATGATAAAATGAGAAAAAAACACAAACCAGGAAATTTCAACGACATGTTTAAGGTAGCGAAGTACTCACAATAACTGTGGCTAAGAACTCTTCCTCGCCATTGTCGGTGCAATTCTCGGCCAGGAACATCAGATACGCCTTTGTTCTCTCAGAAATAATCTCAACTTGACATGACTGTTGTGGGCGGAATCATATATTATAATTCTCATTATCAACTCCATTTACAAGTCCTCTTGTTAGAAATACTTACACAGTCAGAAGATGCTTTTCTTTTAATATAAAGCGAGTGTTTCCCCTTTAATGGGGACAAAATAGTTATAGCGGGGCTCCCACGCGCGCAAAGCGCGCGTGGGGCTGAGCCCTATACCCATGGAATATTGTCAACCTCTTTTCGTTTGGTTGTCACGTGACTGACTGAGCGTACGTACGTAAGTGCCTTCAGATTGCACGGGTAGGGTAGGAGAGACTATCAAAACGAAGGGAGGGGTGTCTCAGGTGAGTCTTGGCAAATGCACATCTTTTATGTTATCATTAATATTACGAACTTGGGAGCTCCGCTTTTAGGCTTGGCTAAATGTATATATTACATGTTCAGTGGAGCGCGTAGAAAGGAGTAGAATTAATTATCGTAATTTCGAATTTGCCTCGACTACGCGCGGCGGGAAAATCAGGTCATGTGACTTGTAATTTTAAAAGGAACAATTTATGCTGTAAGATTCATTCGAAGCTAGTCATCAACGGTCATAAAAACGCAAACATCAAGATAAAACATCAAGGGATCCGACTACGCAGAAACACAAATTGTAAGTTACATAACCGTTTATCATTTCGACTAAGAATATTGTAGATAATAATGTATCCCGAAATTATTTAATTTCAGTTGACTACGATGTAACCATGGATGTAACGAGCCGTGTCTTACATTAGTACAAATAAAATCTGACAACGTTGATCCCTGGGCTAATCTTCAGAATAAGTAGCCCCTTCAATCATAGGAGCGAATCACAAATTATAGCTGAAAATAAGGTACTTAGTCCACAAAAGTAGGGAGAGGGGAAGTCAGATGCGTGCATGAGCCGTCGAACAGCGCCGGTCATCAAATGGCGCAGTAGGTACTTTAATGGATGAGTGAATCTCTCCTCGATATAGCATAAATTCAGCAATCGATCATGTTAAAAAAGTTTGCAATGTTTTCCTTTCGGGCTGAAAAAGAACAACATTGCTTATAGCTCACCTGTCTCAAAGCAAAACAGCAAGTGGCTCTGACAGTTTCAAAGTGCGGCAGACTGGGTAGGTTAACCAACAGCCATTTGTAAGTTTTGGCTATGGCGCTGGCTGTCGGAAATGGTGGCGAGAACAATTCCTCCATGGTGGTTATCATAGCATCACCCTCTAGCTCCTCCTCACACACCACAGTCACGTGATCTCCCACCTTGACAGAATCTTGGGATAGAACTAGTTCCAAGCCCTTGATCAATGGTTCAAATAGAAAATAAGATTAAAAACCAAAAGAAAAAAACAAAACAAAACAGAAATCACGGCAATCCATAAAGTTTTAGTACCAAATGTGCAGTGGTACACACACAGAATAAAGACGAAAGAAGGTAATTTTCGCTTCTTGGGAACGAAAACGGACGAAAGTTCATCTGAGTTTAGTGTATTTTCAGAACAATCTATCGCTTGAACAACAAGAGTTCACAAGAAATGTCGAAGATAAGCTGACACGAACTTTCGAAATGTCTTTAAGAGAGTTTGTGCATACTCTCATGACTGGTAATTCATAATTACTGAGGCATTTTGTCGCCCATTCAAGAACAATTTGGCTCCGTTCGAACGAGTAGAATATTCAGTTCGTAAAATAACTGTCATTCGTTTGCAGTACTTGATAATCCATTCTAGAGGTTCTTTAACCGTTGGAAATACCCTGGTGAACCATGCAGACATGCAGAACACTCTTAAGAAATAGTATATATCAACGAAACTAAGTTTCAGTATGCATCTCGCAAATGTAAAGGAGCCATAAAACTCGCCATATAATGTATATTTTACCTTAACAGCCGAGTCCCTCTCTGCCGTTTGTACAGATGACAATCTTCTCATGAAATACTCTAACACTTCACCTGTGGAGTCGGCGTCAGCTTCAGTACCAAACAACAGTGACCTAAGTCGTCCTAAGACGTGGCGTTGTATATCCTAAAGCAACAACAACAAAAAAACTTGAAAGACTATTCTGTTCCATATAACTTGGATATATCAACAAAGTTGAAGTGGTAAATTGGCCACCGTAACGATTACAAAAGCTGACGTTTCGAGCGTTAGCCCTTCGCTCGAAACGTCCGCTTTTGTAATCGTTACGGTGGCCAATTTACCACTTCAACTTTGTTCATATATCCAAGTTATTTCGTTATCCCACCGACGCAGCCCCAAACAGTTTCTTTCGAAACTATCAGCCTTTATTCTGTTCCATAGCTTAAAATGCTGACACAAATACAGCAGCTCAGCACAAAAGAGATTAAAAGATAAAATAGGTGGCACTGATACGCTATGAACAAAAGTTACAGCAGTATCAGTGAAATCATTCGAAGCTTCTTTCTTCCGTTGGCAATTCAGAAGTCCGGACAAATAATGGATCAAAAAAAGAAAGATTGAACGATGAGGAATGGAGACATACGAGACACTAGTCTACATGCATTGTAGCTTATGGTATTTTATATTTTAAATTTTCATGTAAGGAAATTTCACCCCGACGTTAGCCCGTATAAACAATCTTCTCTCTTTCACTGTGATAATGATTTTCTCACTTTCCAATGTCCTTTCCAAGGAATACCCTTACTCAGACGATCTATGACCGACTAAAAACAACGAGAGTCGAGCTATTTATTCCTATCCCAGCCATAAGGGCTATCTTCACTGGTAGCTTAGATAAAATGTCCATTATTTTTACCAAATAAACCTTATATGTTCTTTCGAAACTATCAGCCTTTATTCACTTATATGTTAGGTTGTAAATGCAGTTGCGCGTGCTCATAAATCATCGAGACACAACCTGTCGCGGTGGCTACTTACAACTCTCTTGTCTTGCACTTCTTTGCTGTAACCTTCATCTTGTTCTTTGTTATTCTCGCCCGTTTTTTCCAGGAGCAAAAATTCACACAGACATTGAACTGGAAGAACATCCAGTGAACCCTCAGAGGACTGAACAAGTTCTGCCAGCCATGGCATACTCTGTGATGCACCCTGAAAGCACACAAGAGTAACAAGCAAAATATTGTCAGGGATTGTGTCTTTTAGAAGTCATAAAATTCCATGACTTCAGATGACCTTTTCCAGAACTTTTACTATGTCTTCCTAAAACCGAGAATCGTGGCCATATTCTCCTAGATAACGAAAAGTCCCTCCGTTTTAGGGAAGCCCGTCGCGCGAGTGGAAAAAATCAGTGCAAAAGGAAATGTGATGTTGGCACGCGGCGCTGAACTGTGGGAGCGGGGCGCAAAAGGTAGATTTTGGTGAGCAAGGTAAAGGGTAAATAATTGCTTAACGGGCAGTTCAATCAAAGAAAAATGGATTTCACAGAAAACAGTGTCTAACCTGTCTTTGGATGATTTCCAATAAAAAATCGGGCGAGCGACTGCGGCATAACATCTGACCAAGTTTAAGACTCTTGTTTGTTGCTTTTAACTGGTCAATAACACTCTGTGGGGGACGTCGGGCAGGTCCTCTGAATAATAATAATAAAAAAAAACCCTCGCCCTTCAAAATTGAGAAGTAAACAGTTTTTGTTTGCTCGTAATTCTCTCTTGCTAGTCTTTTGAAGCCGTTTTCTGAGTGTCGTTCTTCTGGAAGAAAAGATCCAATTGTACTTACACAGGGTCCATGCTAATCAGCTGGCTCAGCAACAAGCTGTTACTTTCTGTTATGGCCACTTTAGTTGTGGCTGCAGCCAGGTGTGACTCAAACAAAAGGATTTCTTCCTTCTCTGCCTGTGCCAGCTACAAATTAGAATAACAATAATACAGTGTATTAAGGTATGGCCTCCACGACCCCAGCCTGCTTCCATAGAATGGAGCCACTTGCACTTAAACTACTCTCCCAAATGGAATGAAAAATAGCCCCTCCCTACCCCCCTCGTGCCCCCACCCCTCCCTCCACAATTGCATCGTGTCAAACCGCAAAATCCTTTGACAGAGGTACATTGTACAGCAGCGTTTCTTCAGTGGCTAGTTTGAACGAAAAGAAACTTTAACACAGACCAAGTTGTTGGCTTAAATTCTTTGTTGCACCAAGTTCATTTTTGAGAGTGTATAAAATAATTGCTAGATATGATGAAATGACATTACGACCAGTTCTCAATGTAATACAGTACCTGAAGTTCTTGAGAAAGTATCTCATCTTTTTCTTCACTTGTCAGAGCAGCGGTTGGTGGTGGAAATGTAAAGTTGCTACAAAGCAAAAAGTTAACAATATCATAAATTGTAAAACTTTATTTGATATGCACTTTAAAAAAATTTTCATTTAACTCTTTCACTCCCAAGGTCAAAACATAAATTCTCTGCAATGTTTCTCATACATTTTTCTTGACTATTGCTATGGGAATTCGATGACAAATCAAACAGATTCCTTTAATTGAAATTTTACTTTTTACTAAACACCTTTCTGCTTGAAAATGTATTGATAATGTAAGGTGAAACTCCTCTTTAGTCTCTCCTGAGAGTTCAAATATTGGTGTACTTACTTTGTCATCAATATTTCCATCAGGCATTTGAGCATTGGGAAGTTATCCCATCCAGATTGTCCTTGATAAAAGAAAAAACAAACAAACAAACAAACAAAAAATTGAAATCATAAAAAAAAAGGTTAACAATCAAAATATTAACAGCAAGGGTGGAGAGACATGTAAAGTCATCAATCAGGCCACAGTAATTTTATCACTTCATAGCTTGATATGAACTAATAACCTTAAGGTTATTTGACAAACTTAAAAAGAAATGTAAAAGGATAATACTTAGTGTTCTCCTATTAGGGTGGTAACCACTCAACTTCACTACCCTTAGTTTCTCTTATATATTATTACTCCCTACAATTGCTTGGAATCCTTGAAAAATTTAATTTTAATGTTTAAAAACATTCAAGTAGAAGGATTGCTCTACTGGTTTGAAAATTTCTTTGACCCCTTGTGTTTTAAATGAGGGAGGACATCTATAATACTATCAATTATTGTTACAATACCCCTTGATGACTTATACACCCATGAAACCAGAAATAAGGTGATATGAATTATATCCCTAGGGATTAAGTGTCACGTAATAGATATTTTTAACACATGATGCTCACTATTCATTTCATTTCTTTAAGTGAACTAAATAGAGCAGAACTAGATGTAACATGTATATATGAATAAAGGCTGATAGTTTCGAAAGAAACTGTTTGGGGCTGTGTCGGTGGGAGTAATGAAATAATTTGGATATAGCAACAAAATTGAAATGGTAAATGGCCACCGAAATGATTAAAAAGGTTGACGCTTCGAGCGTTGGCCCATTCGCTCCGACGAAGGGCTAACGCTCGAAACGTTAGCTTTTGTAATTGTTACGGTGGCCAATTTACCATTTCAACTTTGTTGATATATCCAAATTATAACATGTACATAAACTACATGCACCATCTCACCTATTGAAGAGGGATTGAGAGAAGCAACTATGGCAAGTAAGATCCAGGCTTTCCAGTACAGATTAGCAATTGCTAACTTTGGGGCAGCATATCTATAAAATTGGTGCAACAATAGACTTGTTTGAAAAGCAAATAATAATTATAGTTCAACACAACTTTAACATGTTTTTGAACTTTTGTATGTCAAATTCAGGCTTAGCCCTTACATACCCTGAGGGAAGAATAATATCCTTTGGATGATGATAAGCACAAAGGTTGAGAACAGCATCCAAGAGCTCCACACGATTCACAGAGAGAGACGCATCTCCTGATAGTGAAATGTTGACCAATCACAATCATTACATTTTTGTCTTCAAACTGACGATGTCATTTAACTTAAGGTAAGTGAGAAAGAATACATACAAAGGATGGAAAGACAGAGAGAGACGCATCTCCTGATAGTGAAATGTTGACCAATCACAATCATTACATTTTTGTCTTCAAACTGATGATGTCATTTAACTAAAGGTAAGTGAGAAATAATACATACAAAGGATGGAAAGACTCTGAGGAATGAATCTTAATCACAAAATCTCACACAGACCTGACTGTGATCCTTGCATCCAGGAAGAAGGTAGTTTGATTGCTGCCACTCTCCTGACCAATGAATCTGCTATCTCAAGGGTCTCAGTAGGTGTTAGTGGCAGCTCGTTAGAGAGGCCAATGATAATGGTCCTCATTAGTGTATCTTCTTGTATAGGTACCTCACTAACAATGCTTAACAACAAACTAAGGAATGTAAAGAAATGGAAGGCTTGAAACTAACATATCTTCCCATGGTGAGATACTGAAGAACTACATGTAACAAACTTAAACCCATTCTAAACTACCGGGTACATACATGTAAGGAAATGGATAGACATTAATAAATATTGTCAAATTTGTCTTGAAAAGCCATTCAGAAAAATTAGAAATTATTTTGACCTTTTGTCATTCTCCGGAGGCCAGTTGTCTTTTCCAGTGTAGCTCTCAGCTGGATCGAGGAAAAGCACTTTGTTCATGCTTGAAAAAAATTGACTCAAATTAGAAATAAATAGATGAAAATTAAAATGAAAATGGCTGCACCATAAACACGTAATATGTAGAGGATCACAACAGAGTTAAGCTAAGGTTAACAAGATTGTGAGCATGATATCTAATTATCGATCTAATTATTTGATCAATTCTTTATTACTTGTACATGCACACATACTACTTACCATGATAAGAAATCTTTTCCACTTGGAGTGAACATTTTAGGGACAACAATGTGCAACCACCAAACTGCATCACGCTGGATTGTGGAAACAGACTTGTGAAACTCCTCAAGTACTGATGTATCTACAATAAATGAACAACAATTCACCAGCAGTTGGTAAAAATAAACAGAGCTGTACAGTTTTGTTGCACTTAAAAACATCGCAGCAGGGGACAAACAAGTCAACTTTACCTCTTTTTTCCCCTCTTGCAGATCCACTGTTGAATGATTCCTTGACAGTGGGCGTTATACTAAGAAAAGTTGCCATAGTGATAAGATCTGCCAGGGAAAGTAACATGCGTTCCTTGGAAAGAAAAACATACCATCAGTACAAGTTCATACATTCCTGCTACTGATAATGCTTTTATGATTGGTTCAGTGGTACAATTCCACTCTATTGGCCAACTGAGCACTTTTTTTGTCTCAACTTTCATAAAACTTCCGAACCTTAATGGCAGCATCCAGATCCCTGAACTGAGTCTCAGTTCTTTCCTTCATGAATCCGCGACACAATGCCACAAAGTCTACATCATGTCTGAGAGCTCTGACAACTTCTCTCAACAAGGACCGTGAGGCTCTTAAATAATCTTCTCTGTAAATAAAAATGGAAGCAAAAATGTTAAATTGGACAGGGATAGTCTGTGGTAATTAAATTAGTTAAGGGAAGGTACGTTTCTTTATCGGGAGGGGGTGGGCTGGGGTATTTTAGAAATTTTTTGCCAAAAAAGTCATGGCCCTCCCACTTTCCAGATTGGATTAATGCATGACCCTTCATAAATGCCTAAACAAAAGGATCTAACCCTCCCCCCACGTCCTCCAAGACAAAAATAACCAGAAGTGAAAATAACTGACTGGAAGTGTTGCTCACATAACCATGTCTGCGCACAAAGCAGTTAATTGCGTGGTGTTGCACAGTGAAAACTTGAAAATGGGCAAGGATGTGCAAGGAATAGAAAGAGGGAAATGCGCTTGTGGAGAATGCGAGGTTTTCATGAGGTCAGATGGAGCAACTTTTCATGAGGTCAGATGGAGCAACTTACGGTGGCCAATTTACCATTTCAACTTTGTTGATATATCCAAATTATTTCCTTACTCCCACCGACGCAGCCCCAAACAGTTTCTTTCGAAACTATCAGCCTTTATTCTAAAATGGATGCCCGCTACTCCTCTGACTCTGTTGGTAGCACATCGAGTGCGGGAACAAGTGAAAGTACAAGTCCAGAGAAGTGGAAAGATGAAGATCTGGGGTGGTTCCCAAACCCCAAAGGGCGAATATACTGAGTTCTCAAATAGCATTTTGAGAGAAAGGTGAGCTTTGTATGGAGTATAGGCAAATGTCGTGTAAAGAGAGAAGTGGCAAACTACGTAAATTTTGCGAGAAGGATGAGACTACCAGTGCTCCACTTCCAACTCGACAAACATATCCCGACTATGGCAAGCTACCAAACTTCCAGTATCTCTCTTGGAGTGCAACCCCCACTGATGGCCGTGAGCCAGATGACTTCCAGCCTCGAGCTCAGATTAAGTGATTGTTTGAGGAAAGTGAACTAGTCAGTGGGGACAGTGAAGCTATTAGAAGGTTTTCAGATAAATACATTGTCCCCGAAAAGCTTGTAGCAGAGTATGTTGAGCACCTTGCCCAGATAAAAATGTGCAAGGAGAAGAAGAAAGAGGAGACTGATAGGGAGCGAATGGAACGGCTGAACCGGGAGTACAGTGACATTGACTGGGTTGGACTGTACAACTCTGTCATCCTTGAGGGTGAACAAACTATCCTTGTACTTTTCCCATCACAAGATCACCTTCAACGGGAAGAAAGCTGAAAAAGTCGCAAAGATAAAAGCGCACATTGGTAGCTTGCTGTACAATTTAATGGGGCATCAACCACCTTAGAAGCTGGCCCCCAATCAGAAATGTACAGCAACAAGTGACCTCGTCACTTTCTGAGGTGGAAACTGACTCGCAAAGTGATGTAGTAGATCAAGTTATCGGTACAAGCCCGAGTAGCTCAAGTAACGAATCATCACCGGACACTAATTTTATACCAGAGACCCGCACTGAAACATTACCGATGTCAAAATATAGACGAAAGCGGGCACAACGGTCAAGAGAGAATATTACGTTAGTTGGGACAAGATCGTTTTTTGACATAATATTTCGACATCTATTTAAAATGATGAAGATTGATTTAGACTGGTAGCTTTGCTTGTATATATAAGTTTTAGGTTTCTATACACTTTGCGTGTTTGGTGACAAATAATTAAAAGTAACCGAGATGGAGTAGTTTTTTCCTTGCCAAAAAAAAAAACTGTGACCCTCCCCCAGCTGCATATCAAACAGGTTTGACCCTCCCCAATTTGTAAAATATTTACTAATGACCCTCCCCTCCGAAGCCCTGGCCCACCCCCCCCAATAAATTACGTACCTTGCCTGAGTTTGATTATAATTTCAAACAGTCAGTCAGTAATCAAAAACAGAGTTTGATGACGTTTCCTGTCAACACTACATAAGGAAGAAGACTTGAAAATAAATGAGCAGCAGATTGTTATTAATCAGTGTCTGGTGTATAATATGTTTCCTAAAGCAAATCTTCTCAATTAAAACAAAAATTGATGACTGTGTCCATGAGGATCACATTTCCAAACTGCTTAACAAAATTGCCTTAAAGTTCTTTTTTAAATAACCTAAAGATGAATTTAGAAGTACACATCACAAATGCATCAGTCTATATAATTTATTTATATTTATTTCACTTACTTGTTGGTCAGTAGGTCTTGAAACACCATAGCCAGTAACTGAAGAAAAATCCAAAGAATTTAATAAATAATTACAACTTGTTAGACTGAAGGGAGTGCTGCTCACATAGAAAGAGGACAACTAAACATAAAATGTGTTCAGCATATCTTACAGACCTTGGCTGCCTTTTCTTGGTTACTCTGGAACAGAGTACTAAGCAAAACCATGTTATTAGGATTGCGAGCATTGGACAGTTCATTGTAGATCACATACTTCAACACTGTTCCTAAATTCTCCGTGTGCTGATTAGCTAATTCTCTGTGAGAAAAAGAAGGCAAAGTTGGTATTTACTTAGTTCTTTATTAACCGAGCGGGAGGTCTGTATGGGAGAATATTGACCGAGGTCGCCAGTACAGTCCGAACGCAGTGAGGTCTGTACCAGCAACCGAGGTCAAGATTCTCCCATACAGACCGACCTAGCTTGGTTAAGAAGATGTATATTACATGGCTGTGTCTTATATGCTAATTTTTTTTTTATTAAAAACTGGATCATTGGATAATGCAATTAGAGAATTTTTATTGGCTTAGCCATTATGGTATATGAGCCGATATACCATAATCTAATATCTGTACATTGTAACATCTGGTTTCTTCTTACCAAATAAAGTCGAGAAGATTTGTCTAATATCTTGGGGGTGTTTTTTTAATAAAACAATCATTCCACTAGTGCTTGTTGGATATGAGATGATTATAGCCAACTCGGCGCTACACACCTCGTTGGCTATCTATCATCTCATATCCAACGCGCGCTCGTGGAATAATTGTTAAATATTCTTTGTACCTTGTTTTTCTAGACCGGTCTAGATGCCGCTCTAGATGGGAAAATCTATACTGCTTTCAATATTGATTTCAGCCAATCATATTCGTGAATTCGGTGGTACCCAGTCTTTGTGAGACACAGCCATATAATTATTAATAAACTGGGATACTACTAAGTATTCTTGTAGCCTTATAAATTGACTGAATGCTGTTAAGCTTAATTCTGTCGCATGAAGTGAGTAAGGACATTTCTAATGCCTTTGTATAGGTTGTTAGTTCATTGATAGTTAATCATAAATGATTAGACTGGGCTTCAAGCCAGACTCCTCCCTGTAGTATGTGGTAACCATAAGGCTACCACATGTTCTACACTGTCTATTTATTAAAAATTATGTCGAAGGCAAATATTGCTCAGAAGTAAGCAATGCTTTTAAAAAGAGGATTACACCAATAATTCAAAGTAAAGTTCACTGCCCAAGGTTCCCTACAGTGTGTAGTAAGTTGATAGTGTCTCAAAACTTAAATCACTGTTCTTGATCCTTGATTCTGGAAGACTTTCAGGATTGAGGCTCAAGCCCAGTTTGGAGACTATTGATTTAAGTTTTAACTTCCTTGGTTAGCTATCTTTTTGTGAGCAAGAATAAAATTGTTTCCTTGATACTACAGATAAAGATCCTCAAAAAGTTCTTGGAATGTATCAATTCTCCACCCCTGAACCTCTAACATCCCGCCTCAGATTTCGATTCTCAAATCCTTGATTCTCCAAAGAGTCAAGGATAACAAATTGAGTTTTGAGTTAAAGTTAAGACTGTCTACTTACTCTTTAGCTATACTGTATACAATTAATTCTGCCACGTGCACATAACCTTCCATACACTGTATTCAAGTATAAAGTACTGAAAATCAGCAAGGATATGTACATACTTGATGCAGTTGATATAATGATTGGCCAGAGGTTTGGTCTTCAGTCTCATTCTGACCAGGTTACTTATCACTTCAACATCTTCACTGCTGTGTGTGTTACAGTTCAGTGCAAGAGACATAAGCAGCTCTTGAGCTGGACGAGTTAGCTGATGATTAAAAATAAAATGAACTTCATAACACTTGGAAATTAAAATGGTATTTGCAAACCATCTTGTTGAACTAAATATTTAAACACAGTTTCCTAACTTTCAACTTCACCCTCATTTCAACAACTTTGCTGTTTCATCACTTACGGTTACTTCCTACCTTCAGAGGCCGAAAAGATGTTTTTTTTTGGACAAGATTGAAGTTAGACATTTTAACTAACATTTACAGAAACAAAAATTTAACAATCTCAAAAAGCTTATTAGAAAAACATATTTTCAAATAAAAGTTAATAAATCAGGAAGGTGTTATAATCTCGTAAATGGGCGAACCCCCCTGGGAAATATTCGCAGTAATTTCATGTCATTTGCATATTTTGTTTACATTGCGCACATGACAAAATTCACACGTGGAAGTTATCTGCTTGTGGAAAGTCTTTTCTCATGGATAAAAAACATAACTCAAAATTAGAGAGGAGTCCTTGGGTAAAGAAAAAGGAAAAAACAGGCCCAAAGAAGAGAGAAATGGCAGCATTTTGTCAAAAAAAAAAAATCCTCGCTGAAAGCGACAAAGGCTCTTGGTTTGGCCAGGAGCCTTCAACAAGCTCAGCATCCGCTGAAGATTGGCAGCATTCGTTTATCCTTGGGGCAAGCAGCTTAAAAACTAAAGTCAACACCACAGAAGGTTGTAAACAAGATTCTTTGTCGGAATCTGACAAAACAGTTGGAGAAAAAGAAAAATACAACAGATTTACCCTTTCTGCCACGGGTTTTTCCATCCCCGACTTTGTCCATTACTAAACGATCAACAGAGTGAGATAAAAAAATGTGACTGCTACGTGATACTTTTCCCGGGAAAATCTCGCTCCATTGTCATTGACGCAAGGAGGTCTCATCTTCTTATTGGTTTGCAGTTTCAGGAGGCGAGATAATCTCCGGTGTGGTGGTAGTTGTTTACAAACCTTTAGGAGTTAAACTCTCACATTTGATTTTGAGAGGAATACATCCTCTTTGAGTGAATTTATAGGGTACATAGATTTGACCAATTTTCATGAAATTTCACCAACACATTCCTGAGATGCTGACAAACGAGTCACGAAATTTTGATATTTGAAATACTTTTTACGTGGTGTCCATTTACACAACACACTTTACATATTTTTTACTACTCTAACTTTAGATGTGAATAACTAGACAACCAATCAGCTAATTTTCTTGTGCTGCGGGATCCGATACCCGATAAATTCAATACAAGGACCCTCGGTCGTTTCACGCCTTACTGGCTCCTGACACTTCCTAAATGAAAAAATTGACTAATTATATTTTTATCATAAACTGCATTTATTAAGCTAATTGTTTTTATGTATACTTTGTTAGGGTTTTCTTCAAACTAGTGCGCATATGAATTTTTTCCCGAAGGACACTCCCGAAGGTAGGAAGTAACCTTAACTTAAGATTTCTTAGGGGCACACATGTTAAGAAAAAGAGTTGGCCCAGTATGTCTCATCCACTGATAGTATACATAATAGTTTACATGTAAACTTCAAGTCTCTATTCACCCTTTATATATATTTCAATTCTTATCAGGATTAATCTCCAAAACATTTTTTTTGATTGATTAAATATTTCCCGAGATATGCCGCCTCAAAGTTCATCCTTTGGCCACACCCTTTTGATTTGGCTGGGCTAAGTTTACTCTGGTAACTAAAAGTCCCTCATGACGTCACAGCAAGAATGTCTTTCGATTGATGTGCCTACATCCACTTGAATATGCCTTTGGACGAATCTGGTGTATTTGAGCAACCAGCGACCACGCAACAAGTTGGCATTTTCACATAATTTTACAGCAATAGACACATGTTCTTATACAAGAAGTTAACATTTGTTCTTGCTGTGACGTCACTTGGCCCAGTAATTCTCTCCCGGCCAAGTCAAAAGGACGTGGCCAAAAGAGCAACTTTTATAAACCTCTGAGGGTGAATAGGGACTTTAAGCACAGCAAGACATTTTACCTTGGGATTCTGCAGCCACATCTCTAGCCTCTGAGACACTAACAATCTGATATGATTGTAGCCGCAAGTTACTGTCAGCAGCTTCAGAAGGTTACGAGTAACACTATCCAATGTCTGCCGTCTTGTTAGTTGATCTTGAACTAATTCTAGAATGTATGTGTGGATGTTGTGCTTAACAGATGGTGACATGAATCTATGGATTAACAAGAAACATCAAAATCATGTGATGTAAAATGTAAATGAACCTAACCTAAAATCAATCAAAATGATATTAAATTAATCAATGCATTTCACAACATGTTTTAATTGATTAAGTTTGATCTTATAAAATCCTGAAGGATGAATTCTTGGTTTTACCTTAAAATAACTGGAATATCATCCTCCTCAAGTGTTGTTGATGTTTCCATTTCCTCAACAACTTCATCTTCCTCTTTTGTCCCTCCAGCAGCTCCACCAGCTGTAGTCTGTTCAGTTGCTACTTGCTTTCCAGTGGGATCACTATGTTGTCGTGACAGTGTTCGTGGCACAGTTCTGGTCCCAAACGCTGTCCATATGTTCTCCACAAAACTGCGACAATGTTCATTGTCAACCCATACCCTGTCTCCTAAAGCATCTTCAACATAGACTTTCACAAATGACTCTGGCCAGTCATCTTCCTCTTGGAAGGTGTAAAGCAGAATGTTGCAGGCCATCATTGGTACTAAAGCATTTGATCCCTTATTTGGTTTGATATTCAAGGAACCACCCTCACGTTTTAAGATGCTTGTCAGTGCCTACAGAACACCACCATCTTATGTCAAATGCGTATCCTCTCACTAAGCATGATCTACCTCGCCTTTACAACTATTACATGTTCAACACACAGAACTTTGAAATCATATCATGTCTGGCTGCAGCTTAACCCTTCAACTTGCATGAGTGACCAAGACAGACTTTCTCCTTACAATATCAATACAATATCAAGCAGATTAGTGTTGAGATTAGAAAAAAAAAGACAATCGGGGAATTATCAGTTGATCCAACACCAAATTTTCCAAACTTACATCATGAGAATTGTATGGCAGATAATATATGGAAGTGAAAGGGAGTGAAAGGGCTAAGTAGGAGCAGCTGCAATTCTTTTAACCCTTTCACTCCCAAGAGTGCCATATGGCACTCTGGTGTGCTTGATTTTAATACTAATTCATTTTAAAGTACATTTTTTTCATTCTTTGATAACTTTAAAATATGGTTGTTGGTACTGAGACCAGAACAATTATCTCTTTAAGAGAGGTCTCTATTTTAAAGACATTTAAATGGATCTTCAGCAGTCAGAGTGGCATGCCAAAAAAAATCTAGATAAAATAAATATAATGGTATCTATGTCTTAACATGGCATAAGCACTGTAATGCACTCCTGCATCTGTCAAAGTCATGGTTTGCTAGATGTTTCTAATAATGTTCAACTAACATGTAGCGAGGACACAGATTCACAGGAAAACTGCACTTTTATCATACAAAAAGAGCAAAAATAAACTATTCAACCAACAGCAAAATTGAACAATAACATACTCAAAAGGGGTAAGTCAATTGTGCTCACCTCAAAAATTCTATTGGAGAGGAAATAATCAGGCCTGCTTTTTGCAAGGTACATCAGATTCATGATCATCATTTGATCTGGTTTGGCTTTGTTTAATTTTAGGTTTTTTATGGCTCCTAATAGAAGAGCCTCCACTCTTGATTTGTCACCAGTGGCATCTGCATCAAGGACCTGATCTTCAAGTTCTAATGCACTCACTGTAAATTAAATGAATATGAACTAAAAGTCTAAAAAAGACTTTCCATGAAGAGGCACGATAGGTATAACAGGGTAGTAGCAAGTCTGAATAAAATATTCACGTGCAGCTGTACATATAGTTGGAGCTATCAGAATTTACACTGTAGCTGGAAGAAATATGTTATTATCAATTCATATAAAGAAAATAAATAAATGTATATAAACCTTCAATGGGTGTAACTTGTCCATGCGACAGAGACTGCACACTATTTCCAGGTCTCTTGCTGCTCTCTCCATCTCCACCTTTAAAGGAATGGGGAGGATATGTGGGAGATGACAGCTTTGGCCTCTTAGAACCTCCCAGGGGAGTAAGAGGAGTAGAGGACTCCCTCTTCCTGTCAGACAGAGATGACCCAACTGGTTTCTTTGAAGGCATAGCTTGTGGTGGTTTGAGTGGCTGGGAAGGTTTCAATGGCTGAAGAGGCTTCAGCTCACTTTCTGAAGTCCTGGAGCCTCTGCTGCCTATTATAAACAAATACAGAATTCAGAAAGAAATAGCAACTGCAAAGGACATTATAATACGATAGCCTTGCAGAAGGGCTAAGCAGTTAGAGGTCTTACCAAGAGCAATGAAGTCTCCTGGTGGTAGGTGACCTGTAAAATATAAATATAAAAGTGTTCAGTATTCATCTCAATTTTTAGGGATGGTACAAATGTGGACTCCCATTCTGGAGCCCCTTCAGGACCCCTTCTGGATCCCCTTTTGGACCCCCTTCAGGACCCCTTCTGGACCCCCTCACCAAATTAAAAAAGGATGAAAACAATAAATACCTGGTGCATCTTAGGAGGTCATCATCAAAGTGGCATTTCATGCTACAAACATTTGCCTTAATCTTCGAAAAGTGCTACTAGAAATGTCAATTCTCCGGTGTGCTATTGTGGGTGCTATTTTGTTTATAAGTTAGAGTGAGGACCTCGGCACAAGGCCACAAAACTTCTAGTGTTTCCTCTGATCAGCTGCTCCAATCAGATTTTTTTCCACCATTTTGATTGCATCATTTCATGTCCTTGGCTACCACTGCTGACCAAAAAAATTGTGGTCATCCATACACAGAGCTCTATGGTGAAATGTTGAAGATAGGTGTGCAAGTTTTTCGCAATTTGTATGCAATCTCGACATTCCTGAAGCCATCCATAAACAATCACGACATTTTCTTGCCAAACAATCACATACCTTACCTTCAATGTTCCACCATAGAGCTCCGTGTATGGTGACCACAATTTTTTAGGTCAGCGGTGGTTGCCAAGGACATGAGATCATGCAATCAAAAAAGTGGAATAACCTGATTGGTCAATCAAAGGAAAAGACCGGAAGTTTTGTAGCCTTATGCCGAGGTCCCCAGTCCAAAAGGGGGTCCAGAAGGGGAGTCTGCATTTTGTACTGTCCCCAATTTTTATTTCATAAGTACAGTATTGTTATGATCGATGTAAGGGGTGAAAATTAAGGCAGCCAATTGGCTTAGGTGGACATGGAAATTACAGAAAATACTGCTATTTATCCCTTCAATATAAATAAATGAAAATCACCATTATTTTCTAAACACATAGACATGTGACGTCTATGGCTTGTTGATTGAAAGATGATAAATAAAAATTTAACTCAGATACGATGAACATATGAAGTTCATATATTTTGAACTACGGTTATAGATACGTATGATGCACGATCCTCGTAGTAGAGAGCGTTAAATTTAACTACCAGTTTCCATAGCTAAGTGAGGTTTAAACGCATCCAAGTTAAGAAGCGGAAGGTGCGAATGTTCTACACCCGTGGGGATCACTCAGAATGTTTTCCACCAGGTCGGTGTATAATTTTACAGTTTGAAATGAAAACGTAGTCGGATTAGACTATAAAAAGTAGCTACCCCTTCTCGACTTGTAAAATGTACTTTCATCGGCTCCAATCAATGAATAACTACCCCACCTCTTGGTCCTATTTTGGGTCTTCTTGCTCCAGGTCCACCCTTATTCATCGTGACAGGGACAAAAGTTTTTAACAACTCAGCACTTCAAAATCACAATAAATAATACTTCGACATCGTCGCCATGTTCGAAACAAGCTAGTGTCCAGGCTCTTCACAAGCAAAATGAGTTGTCATTCTAGTGAGCAGCGGTATCCATTTGTACATTACAATGTATGATACATGAAGATTTTACCTCGATAAATAAGATGGCGGACAACTACAAGCAGGAAAAGAGAGGACACAAGTCCAAGTCTTCTTACAAACAGGATTTACCGATCAGGGATTATAGAAAAAGATTGGTGCAGGCAGTAGAAGAAAATGAATTTCTAGTCGTTGTTGGTGAGACAGGAAGCGGTAAAACAACCCAACTTCCGCAATACCTTCTCAAAGCTGGTGTCACATCTAGAGGAAAAATGATTGGTGTAACGCAACCACGACGTATTGCAGCTATTTCTGTAGCCACGCGCGTTTCTGAAGAAATGAAATGTCATTTAGGAGGTGAGATTGTTACACTTAGCCATAACTCGAGGGAAACTCGTTGTTACATGCAGTTAGGGTGCTTTACACAAATTATTCGATACTGTAAGGTTATGGTCTCATTTAATTATATATGCATAATTTCTAGCAATTTACTTTTAGTACAGGCTGGAAGTAGCCTGTATAATCTGGCCGAATTATACAGATATATTCACAGTTATTTGTTTGAAGATTTCATTTTTATTTATTATTATTTATTATTATTGTAGTTATCATTTGTATTACTTTTATAACTTTCATAATAATTATTTTGAATACTTTTATCACATCTGTCTGATTGAATTGAGTAAATCACATTATGAATAAGTTATAATATGTTATGCTATGAATAAGTGATAAATCCTTAATTAGTCAATCATATACAGTCCAACCTCTATTAAGCGGCCACCCCTGGGACTTTGAAAAGTGGACGCTTATTAGAGGTTGGCCACTTAATAGAGGTACAATTTAAATTGGATAGGAATGGCAGAAAATATGATTTTATTGACTGTATATAGCAAAATACTTTTAAAAAGTGAACATATATGGAGATAAATCCAAAATTCATTCTAACAAAACATCAAGTACATTTCCAGCCCATGCATAGTTTTGCCCATGCATGCATCCATGAGAATGAATTAAATGGCGAAACAGTTCTTGGACATGTTCCCAAGCTTATGGCCCTATGTCTTACAAAATTTCTCAAGAGGCCAACAAACAAAGGAAGAGCTGTTGTGAAAGGCAAACATGTAAACAGAGGGGCCGGCTATGGTTTAGAAATTCCATGCGAGTACTGCTTCACCAGAGACAAGTTTTCAATTCAATGGTTAAAATCAAAACTGCGAGGAGCAAGGATTTTTGTAGATTTCCAGTACAGTAGTAATAAAGTTTTCCACTACAGATTTCGGTTGTAACAAAACAGTGGTTCAGCTCTATCTATTGTTAGCTATCGTTATGTTTGTATAGCGCCGGATGTGAAAAGTTTGCATGTGTATGTGGCTTGTGACTTGTTATAGTGGAGATTAAATTGTAGTTCTTGTTTTCTTGTTGTTATCAGTTATCACCTTATATCATCTCTCACCATTTCGCTTGGAAAGATAATTTGCTGGCCTCTTGATGGAGGTAAAAAACCATATAAATAATACAATTACGACAGCAGAAAGGTGGCTGCGGCCACTTAATAGAGGTGGCCATTGAAAAGAGGTATCAAATACAGCAGTTAACTGACAAATAAATCGGGACTTTGGAAAGTGGCCGCACAATGGAGGGTGGCCGCTTAATAGGTGGCTGCTTAATAGAGGTCGGACTGTAAACGGAAAGTCACAAACTAGCCAACTTCTAAGTCTAGTGTGCAGCACAAACAGGTATCAACAATGTCCATGGAGGGGGGCTTTGGGATTTTCAGTTTTGCAGTTTTAACTGATTTTTGGATCGGTTTTTCGGTTTTTGGGCCAAAGAGGTTTGGTGTTTTGGTTTTGACCTTATGAGCGGATTTTACGCGTTTTTGCATTCGGTTTTCGGTTTTCACTAAAACTCTGATGCGGTTTTCGGTTTTTCCTTTTTGAGCTTTTTAAAGGAAATGTAGCGATTTTGTCAGGTTTGCATGCGGTTTTCGGTTTTGGAGGTTTTTTTCTCCGGTTTTGCAGTTTCCCAGAGGCCCTAATGCCCCCCTCATTAAAGCATTTAGGGACTTGCGCTTTATCAGAAATGGGAAAAATGTAGAAATAAACTTACTAAGGAAGGTGGCAGAAGTAACTCGTGATCAAGCATTTTTGGATCAATTTTATTATAGGTAGTGTCGGCCCACATGGCGACTGAAATGTCAACCGACATATTGGTCGACAGTTGGTCGATAGTCGGTCGACAGGTGGGTCGACAGTCAGTTGATAGTTGGTCGATAGTCGGTTGATAGTCAGTCAATAGTTGGATAGTTGGTCGATAGACGGTTGATAGTTGGTCGATAGTCTGTCGATAGTCGGAAGATAGTCGGTCGACATGTCGGTTGATATGTCAACTGACTGACAAGTGTCGCGTCTCGGTGGAATATCAGTCAAGTGTAGGTGGATTATCGCTCAAGTGTCGGTGGTCTGTCGGCCGAGTGTCGGTAGTCTATTGGTCAAGTGTCTGAACTTTATCGGTAAATATAGTTTGAACATCACTCGTGTGGTTGTGTATTGTTGCAGTGTCAGTATTGAAAAATTTGATTTGAAGAAGAATTTGATTTGAAGGCATAAAATTTCAGGTATATGATTAAGTGTCAGTGAAGTATCGGTGAAGCATCGGCCTAGTGTCAACCGAGTGTCGGCAAAGTGTCGGCTAAGTGTCGGTCAAATATTGACCGACTGTCTACCGATATGTCGATCAACTATCGGCCAACATATATCGGTCGACGTATTGACCGGCATGTCGACCGACTATCAACTGACTATCGACCGGCTGTCGACCGACTGTCGACTGACATGTCGGTCGCCGGGTCGGTCGCCATGTCGGCCGACACTACTTATAGTAACATTGATCCGCACTTTTTATTCTTGATAACTTAGTTTCTATATTTCTTCTAAACACTGTCAAAACTGGTTTCTTTAGAAATGGTTGGATATCAAGTTCGGTTTGATGATAACACCAGTGATAAAACTCTGATTAAATACATGACTGATGGCTGCCTTTTGCGGGAATTCCTTGATGATTGTGCACTTAGCAAATACAGTGTAATTATTCTGGATGAAGCTCACGAGAGAAGTTTAGATACAGTAAGTGCACTATTGCAATATATTAAGTTTAGATACAGTAAGTGCACTATTGCAATATATTAAGTTTAGATACAGTAAGTGCACCACGCG